CATCCATCTCATCATCATCTCTATGATTACACTCGAAAATCAAATTCTTGTTCCCTTATTTTGCGTGTTCCTTTTTGGTGGTTTGAAATTGCCAGTGATACCTGATATTTGTGGCTTCATATTTGCCTGCAGGTGTCTGACATTTTCTCAAACTCCAGCTTCAAGGTTTTTGCAGATGCGTTGGCAAGTGGAGGGATAATTAAAGCATTATGCGTGCCTTCTGGGGCAAAAACTTATTCAAACACTGCTCTCAAGAAAGGTGACATTTACAGAGAAGCAGTTAAATCCGGTGCAAAGGGTTTGCCTTTCATAAAGGTCTTGAATGATGGTAATAAATAAAAAAATACTCTTGAATAGTATATGTATATTACCCAGTAAAATTTTTAGCCAAGAATCTGTCTACATATCCAGCAAAGGGAGTCATTAACAGTGTTTCTATATGGTTTCCAGGGGACATTGAAGGGATTCCCCCTCTTGTTTCAAGCTTGGATATTACACAGAAAGAGCAATTAATTAAACGATTGTCTGCGAGTTCAGATGATATTGTCTTGTTTGCATTAGGAGACCATGCATCAGTTAATAAGACTTTGGACCGTTTGAGGATACACATAGCCCACGAATTGGGCTTAGTGGATGAGGTAAGTTTTTTGAATAGGAATTTGGACTACATTTGATGTAATTATTGAAGAAGGTAGGCGATCAGAGAATAGATACGTGGCAGTTTTCTTTGTCTAACCTTGTTTGTTGTTTGGTTATGTAGTCGAGACATTCAATCCTGTGGGTGACTGATTTTCCGATGTTTGAGTGGAATGATCAAGAGCAGAGGCTTGAGGTTTGAATAATGTCAATATTTTAGATTATATGATATCTCTGATGATGGAATGGATGGATTAAGCTAATTGATAAGACCATTTTCTATGTTCCCGAGTTTTTGATCTCTCATCGAACATCTCTGCTCTTTCTCAGGCTTTGCATCATCCTTTCACTGCCCCAAACCCCGAAGATATGAACAACCTTGCCTCTGCACGTGCCTTAGCTTATGACCTGGTTTACAATGGAGTTGAGGTAATTTCTACTCGTTATCTATACCTATACCAATTGGTCGTACAACAGCCATATCAGATAAGAATGCTTATTTGTATTCATTTACATATACCCTAAATTAGATCGGAGGAGGAAGTTTGAGAATTCACAAGCGTGATGTTCAAGAAAAGGTGTTGGGAATTGTTGGCATCTCCCCTGAACAGGTAAGAGAACTCTTTAAATCCAATTCTCATCTCATATGTACCGTGATGTGATGCATGTATGCAAGCTATCCTATAGTTGTCTTTTGATGATTACAAAGACTTTAAAGGGTGGCGTTTCCTTCGAGGAAAACATTCTTTTGTGCTTAGCTTAGTAACTGAAACCTAAGCCACCCTTCAACGTGGCCCTAAACTAAATCAAGAATTAAAAATTAACATTGATTGTATACACTTTTTGAAGCTTTTTTTTTTTTTTTTTTAAAATTCCATCGTGAATTATATGGAAGTTCACTGGACACTGTTGGTTGTCTCCAGGCTGAAGCGAAGTTTGGCTATCTTTTGGAGGCTTTAGATATGGGTGCTCCTCCACACGGTATATACGTTAGCACTGCTATGAACTTATTAGAAATCCACGGGAAAAAAGTTTCATGGTCTAAATTTAAGGTTCATTTCCGTTAAGGTTATTCGAGGTATCATTTTTCATTTTCTTGAAATCACGTGGCAGGAGGTATTGCTTTCGGGCTAGATAGGTTGGTGATGCTCTTGGCGGGCACTCAATCCATAAGGGACGTTATAGCATTCCCGAAGACAACAACCGCCCAATGTGCTCTTACTCGGGCACCTTCTGAAGTCGACCCTCAGCAGTTGAAAGACCTCTCGTTGCAGACCATTTAGTTTCGGAATCTTGGTTAGCCGAGAAAAAAGGACAGAGATACGGGAACCCCTTTTGAGTATAGCACAGATTGGAAGATCAAAAGCTAGGCTGTCGTCGAGTTGGATGGGAATACTGCTCACCTAACTCTATTACATGGCTCAGATTTTTCGAATATGGAGACTGAGATTGTGTGTGTGAATGATGTGTCTGGTTTATATTGTGTAACTCATCTTGACCCACCATGACATTTATGATGATTATAAATTTCAAACAGGCCCCAGTTTACAGAGAGCTATTTGATCAAGTAATGAATTTTAGCTGTCCAAAGAAAAAACAGGGAAGCCTTGTGCTTGTTGGCTGTCACAATTTTGGATTTTATGTCTGTCTTGGTTGCCCAACTCCACTGCTCCTTAGCTTTGTGCTTTTTTTTTTTTTTTTTTTTTTTTTTTTTTTTTTTTTTTTTGTTAGACCATGCCTGAGTAAACTCTAATTTATTAGCTATGTACTGGTTGGTGATTATGTCTAAAAGTGGACAGATTTTTTGTGCGCATTGGTATTTAACTCTGTCTGTTGAGCATTGAGTCACCGTGATTTACCAATCGTTATGCTGTGTATCTGTATGCACCGTGCATGGTGCATACGGATGCAAAAACGACGTCATTCTAACGTCTAGCTTTAAAAAAATCAGAATTGCATACCTGCACATCCATAATTTCATAGCTATACATCTAGAATTACATAACTATACATCAATAATTTCATAACTATAAAACCAAAATTGCATAACTACACATCCATAACTTCATAATTATACATCCAGAATTGCATAACTATACATCCATAACTTTATAACTATAAAATCTAGAATTACATAACTACACCATGCATAATTACACATCCATAATTTCATAACTATAAATCCAGAATTGCATACCTACACATCCATAATTTCATAACTAAAAATTCAGAATGAATGCACTAAAAAATGAACAACATAATGTTGTTGCTGAGAATCGAAACTGATTTTTTTTTTAAGTAGGACGCGTGTTTTGATGCAAAACGATGTCGTTTTTGCATCCGTATGCACCACGCATCGTGCATACGGATGCACAACATAATTTGCCAAGTTGAGATTCAACTTTTTGAGAAAAGAATACAATGTTTTTGAAATGCAAAAACTCATTTTTAATAGTTTTTTCGCATCACAAAAGTTCAACGTTTCACATAATCACAAAACCAAAAAAAAAAATTGAAAAAAAGAGTTAGAAATTTAGCAATTTGGAGCGGTTCGTAAGTAGAATATTAATGCAATTATAACGTTCAACGTTTATGTGTGACTTGTAAGGTTTGACTTTTATATATGTGTAATGTGTTATGTTAAACAATGTTTTTTCTCGAGTAAGAATCAACTTCAGTGGGTTAAATCCAATTTTGTGAGCGAGACTTGTATGTGTGTCAGTGTATGGTCATGTTCTTTATTAAGTAAGAATTAAATTATATGAGCGTGACCTAATCTAAAAAGATAGTAGTAATATTGGAAAATACAATATGAATCCAAAAAGATAGTATTACATATTGGAAAATACATTAAAGAGTTGTCAAATTTGGAAACAAACAAAAGACAAATAAAATAAGATAAAATTCCAAGCCGAATTGACAGGTTGGCAAGTGGGGCCACAATGGTCGTGGGACCCAGGTCCAAGTTGGTACCTGAATGCTATCCAATCCTTTCCTTAACATGGAATGCTCCAACAGCTGTTCTCCAGCTGTAAGCCATTGCCAATCCAGCTCTTCTCTCATTTTCCCCACCCCCCTACAAAATGGATAATTTCACTTGGGCCCTTTTAATTTTTTAATTAAACTTTTCTCAATCTTTATGGTTCTTTTCCTTGCATTCAAACCTTGTCAACTTTATGCTTCTTTTCCTTGCTGTCCATGGTATAAAATAATTTGATATTTTATCCCATTATATCATTTGTGAATTGTAAGTAGCTTATGAAACAGGGCACAAGTGCTATTGCTAAAAAAATTGGTGGGCTTAACTGCAATAATCCTAAACAAAGGAGACTCATTACTCAGAATAATTTTTTAAGGTTAAATACAATGTATTATATCTATTTTTTTGGTAATCCCTCCCGTGGATCCAAAAAATACAATGCATATATTCAATTTACTGGCTTTCCAATCGAGTGAAATAAAAACTCAATCAGAAATAATCATTCATCTCAAATGAAATAATAATCCAAATTTCTATCTGAATTTATCTCTTGATGTCTACCATGATAATAAATTTCTGAATTAAACTTAAAACTTTATAATTACTGAATCAATTAATTTGATAGAAAATATTATATGTATTCATTTTCTCTACTCTCAACTTTTACTCCACACTTAAAATTTTAGTGTAGATATTTTTACAAAAGATATACATAATGAAAATAACCTATTAGTGCAACAAATTATTTTGTAGACCTGAATTCAAAAGTACACAATTTACCTACTGAATATTTACAATTCAAATTGTGAATGTTCATTATGTAAATTATGAACATTAGTATGTAAATTTTGTATTTTGGACCGGGTCCATAGTATAACTATTGCTATTAGTGCCCGCCACATCAGGAACAATTGTTATACCATGGACCATGTTTATATTGCATTGTGAATCTTGATACAAAAATTTTGTACCTTCAATTAGCACATTCTGTACCTACTGTATGTTAATCGTTTCTGTACACGCAAACAAATAACTTAATAATTGTTAACACATAACAAAAACTATCAACTACAGGTACAGAATGTGTCAACTATAGATACATGATTTGACTTGATAATTGCTGACACATAATATGATAGCTATATGTACAAAAATTATTAATTATAGAATTTGAAAATTATTTTTGTATGGGTCTATAATGCAAGATAGATGTTGATCCATGATATAATTTGTCATCAAGGAGTTAAGATTTGGAAGGATAGTAGAATTCTAATTTGACTGAACCATCTATAGTAGGTTTGTGTAGCTGGCTCATTCCGCACGCACGCCCATGCATCCTTAACCCATTGGGCCCACAAAATTACTGCACCCGTTACTATATATATACCCTTCGTTTCTTGGCGCAACAATTTATCGTTTTTTACGGAGGCCTCATGGATCCGTGTCCTTTTGTGCGAATCAATATCGGAAACTTAGCACTGACGTTCCCGGCGGAGGCGAGACCCTCGTCGTCGTCTTCTTTTTACTGTAAGATCAGGCTGACCGGCAAGTTCTCTACCCAGTTTTCGACGGTGCCGGTGATCCAAAAGGCCGATGGAGTCGTCGAGAGTAGGGTTCATGCCTGTTACAACTTGAAAAAGCCGGAGCTGGAGAGGATTCTGGAGCTGTTGAGCGCAAAGGGGAAACCCTGCGCGTTGAGGATTGAGGTTTATGCCGAGAACAATGGCGTTTCGTGTTTGAATGGCGGGAAGCGATTGGGGAGCGTTTTGGTGGTGCCGCTGGATTTGAAGGGGTTGGAAACTAGTGTGAGTAGTAGCAGGGGTTTTGTGTTTCAGTCGGGATGGGTTTCTATTCCGGGTTCTGCGGCGATGCTCCACCTGAACGTGAAGGCGGAGCCCGACCCGAGATTCGTGTTCCAGTTTGACGGCGAACCTGAGTGTAGTCCACAAGTGTTTCAGGTCAACGGGAATGTTAAGCAGCCGGTTTTCTCCTGCAAATTCAGTTTCAGAAACTGCGGAGATAGGACCCTGAGATCCAGGTTAGTTCAAAGTTTTAAGCCATGAATTTCTGCACTCCACATGTTTGTTCTTTTGCTAGTTACAAATTTAACATTTCTTTTGAAGATGATTACTTTTCCGAGTAGTAATTTCTTCCGTAGAAGGAATTGAATGAATGAATGAATCATCATCATCATTATTATTATAATAGTGTTTAGAATTCTTGAAATTGATATGATTATGTCACCTGGGTTTAAAAAATCTGAACTGGTCTACTTGCCTTTTATTTCTGTCACTATCATGAAAACTCATTCATTTGATTAATCAAAAAAATATTTTTGTTCGTGGATTGGTTCCTAACGTTGAATTCCTTGTCTTTCAGATCTTCATATTTAGAATCGAGCACATCAAGGAGATGCTTTAGTGCATCTGATAGTAAAGAAAAGGCTGTTAAAGAGCGAAAAGGATGGTCCATCACCATCCATGATCTGTCTGGTTCACCTGTGGCGGCGGCGTCAATGGTGACCCCATTTGTTCCCTCGCCGGGGAGTGATAGGGTGAGCAGGTCAAATCCTGGGGCCTGGCTCATTCTCCGGCCCGGCGACGGCACCTGGAAGCCCTGGGGCCGCCTGGAAGCTTGGCGGGAGTGCTCCGGCGCCGGAGATTCCATCGGGTTCCGGTTTGAGCTCATCCCGGACGGCGCCACGGACACAATAACGCTGGTGAAATCTTCAATCTGCCTGAAGAATGGCGGCAAGTTCAGCATAGACATGGCTAATGGACCTACCCCGTTGACCAGTCCCAACAGCAGCTTCGACTTTAGCTTGGGGTCCGGGTCTGACCTCGGATCCGCCCCCGGATCCGGGTCATGGGCCTGCCCCTTCTACGGCGGATTCGTTATGTCGTCCACCGTCGGCGGCGACGGGAAATGCTGCAAGCCGGAGGTGGAAATCGGGGTGCAGCACGTGACCTGCGCCGAGGACGCCGCCGCCTTTGTGGCTTTATCCGCCGCCATGGATCTAAGCGTCGACGCTTGCCGATCATTCTCTCAAAAGCTCCGGAAAGAACTGAGGCAATCGGATCAAGAATGACGATAATCCGGGTCGGGTCAGGTTTCCTTCCCGCGAAGGGTAAACCTCGGACGTCGGTTTAACTAATTAACCAACTGACAGCTCATCTTACCTGGCTTTTTTTTTTTTTCCTTTATTATTTCTATTTTTGTCACTAGATTGTACAGTGGTCTACATTTTTTTTTTTTAAATTCATTTTTGTGCGCTTTGCAAAAAAGAAAATAAAAATAGAAAATCATTTTTGTGCGTAGTTGTATTCCCTATGATTTGTACAAATAATGATTTTTTAATATTAAAAAAAATTAAATAGAGTTTTGTTCGAGGAATGGTATGACGTGGAATCCAATGTTTTGTTCTTGGAGTTTGTCGGTTATATGTGAGAATCCAAAGTAGGTATGTCTAGGTTGGCATACATTAGCTTAGGCACCACATCAGGTGGTTTTGGATCTGACAAAACATTGATTAAACTAAAAACTTAAACAAAAATATTTGTTATATTTTCTCCCATACAGAATTTCGTTGGTCGTACAAATAAAATATGGTTTATAAGAGTTAATATCATAATTTTATATTTACTTTCTCTATGTACGTGTGGATTAATTTGAAGAAAAGTGGGACACCAATTTTATCTCACTTTTATGCTTCCTCTTATGTATTCGAGATATATTCTGTGAGTGATATAATCGATCTATTTTATAATAAATTAATAAAAATTACTTATATATTGTATATTGAAAGTACAATGAATCAAGGACTATTACGGGACGTTTGGTTGGGAGTAAGGAATTAGGGTGGAAAGAATAAGGTGGGAATAAAGTAGGAATTCAAATTACATTGTTTGGTAGAGATAATAGAATTATTGGGTAGGGAATGAAAGAAGTGATATAAAGACTAAAATGTCCTTGTGTAATAATAATAGTAGTAATAATTAAGGGTACTTTTGTCATTTCATCCCTTTTTCCTTTTCCCACAACCACCGAATTGCAATTCATAGGGGGGTGCCCATGAATTGCAATTCAGCAAAAGGAGGGAATTGTAATTTTGTGGAATTGCAATTCCCTCCAACCAAACGGCGTAATTGTGGCTTCCACTGAATTGCAATTCAACTACAGCCAAATTACGCACAACCAAACAAGCCATTATTGTTGTAGAGTTGTAATTGATGTGAACTTGTTTTTTAGTGTTTTAAGCCTTTAAACATTAAATTTTAGACTTAATTTTTTTTAATTAATTGAAACATAAAGTTGAACCCGAGCTTAAGCTTGAATTCAATTTGAGCCATCTCGAACTGATCTTCAACTTGAACAACGGATCAAAAAATTACCGAGCCGAGCTCGAACATCATTTTTCATGCTTGAACTTGAACAAAACAATTCTTATCGAGCTCGCCTCAAGTTAGGTTTACAACCTTAGTATAGTGAATGCATTAAGGATTAAGGAATTAGTCCATAGTAGACTAATAGATTCTTGAAAAGAGTGTAGAATTTATAAGAAAAGGATTAATGGAATCCAGTGAGACATGAAAGTTACACGTGTGTATCAAGTCATGAAGTAAATCATAAGGCTGACAGTATTACGTGGCATCTTGTCTGGTTTGATCTGCTTTCGCCATATCGCACATGCCCTTGCCGGCGTGACGGAAATGATATAAAGCATACTACTAAGCTTCCACACTCAAAACCAATGTTCACCACACACACACATTACACATATATATAATTCATAGCGTTTATGTTTACACTAACAATAAATTAACATGCTTTTATAATTTTTGTTGACAAATTTATCATAAATTAATAAATTTAAATCGTATCTGTGTGTAGATCAGACTTTATAATTTGCAAGAGTTGTATATATGCATCTATAATAATATAAATTACTTTCTCATATGAAAATGTTAGGGAAATAGTTGAATTGAAAGGAGAGCGAGATATTATGAAGTCTAATATCACTGTATAAGATCGTTAAAAAATTTAATGAATATAAAAATAACAGTAAAATTTTCAAAAAAATAAATGAAAATGACAGTCAAATTTTTTATTGTATGTAAACGCTTTACAATGTACTCTTTATATATGTGTGTATGCATACACGCATCTGATTAGCAATCTTTTGAAACCATTTGTAATTAGTATTATTATTATTTTTTTATTTGAAAAATATTATTATTATTATTATTATTAAATAATATGAAAATCAAAATTGAGATTGTTTGGACATGGAACAGAGGCTGAGAGCATCAACATATATATCATGGGTTGTGCTAGGCCTAATCTGTTTAGACTTGGGGGCCCATTTATGAGATCTCAACATTGTGTAAAGTGTATAATAACACTACCCAAAACTGTAATAATTATGAATATAGAGTTCAAAAATTATGAAAATAAAATCATATAATTATGAATATAGAGTTTTGTAATTGTGAATATTGAATTCAATAATTGTGAATATAAAATTTAAAAATTATGAACATAGAGTTTTATAAGTAATTATGAACATATAGTTCTGTAATTGTGAATATAAAATACATAAATTATGAATAACAATTGCATTTATCATACCATGCATGATTGTTACAAGCTAAGCATGTTATTTTAATATCGAGGGTTAAATATTTAGGGAAGAACTAAAATGGTAGGGATTATTGAATCCTCTTATTTTAGTACGGCCGTTGACCAAAAAAATTGCCAGGAGGAGAATAGTTGCAGGTAACGAAATACCCTGTATTGTTGCTGCACTGAACCCTATCACATCCCACCGTCGCCGAGGTATTCCAAACCACCTGAGTGTAGTGCCCACACTCCTTCCCCGGCGGCGCGTTGCAAGAGTTGGAAGTGTAGTTATAGTACATCTTCTCGTCAACCCACAGCCCCACCGCAAACGCCCCCGTCATGAACGCCGCGTTTCCCCAAGCTATGTTTTCACCGTACCGCCGGTTGCCGGAGTGGATCATTTTGCAATCGCCGGACCTCTGCTTAGCGTAGCTTCGGGCATAGGCCGCCACCTCGTTGTCCCATGTCAGCGGCGGGACCCCTACGTCGGCGCGTGCCGCGTTGTGAGAATCTAGGTACTCTTTTTCAGAATTCTGGGCGTTACAAGAAAGACTCATCATCGCCACAACAAGCATGCATGTAGCAAACAAAAACGGCAGTTTTGAAAACCCCATTTCTTGTATTCTCGATCAATATATACTGGATCATCAAAGGATTGATGAATGCCGGAGATGCTGGGAATTGAAGTGATGAAGAATGGCATTGCTTTATAGAAACAAATTAATGATTCTTTTAAATAACTATATAGAATAATAAATTTAAGCCCATATTTAATTTCATGTTGAAATTTCAAATTTAGCTATTAAAACCAGCCTAACCTATTTCATGTACAAGTGTACACTTTTCAACAGGTGGTGTGGCGCGACTCCGTCGGTCTGGGTTGTGGAAGGGCTCGCTGCAATAACGGGCGGTGGATCATTTGCTGTAGCTATGATCCCGCCGGCAACGTCGACGGCGAGCGCCCTTACACACTAAGAATATAATATCTTTCAATTATATATATAAACAAGCAAGTTAGTGTTGCATGCTCTATGCATATATGTAATATAATGAATTCTGCATCTATTTTGCAGTTGGTTCTTATATGATAAAATACTAATATAAGTTTACTATTAAAAAATAAAGTTAATACCATCTTAGGTCATCCTTGTATGGTGATTTTGCAACATTTAGTCCAAAACATTCAAATTGACCATCTGTGGTCCTTTGACTTTTAAATTTAACCATTTATATATGGTCTAAGTTAACCACTCATGGTCCTTCAACTATTAAATTTTAACCAACCATGATCCTTCAACTTTAGAAATTTAACCAATCGTGGTCGTCTTGAAAGGACCACGGTTAGTTAAAATTTAATAGTTGAAGGACCATGAGTGGTTAACTTGGACCACAAATGGTTAAATTTGAAAATCGAAGGACCACATATGATCAATTGAAAAGTTTAGGACTAAATGCGGCAAAACCATTATACTCGGAAGATTTCAGATGGTATTAATTCTAAAAAATATTACTCTTTGACCATTTATTGGCGTATATAGGTTTTATGGGTATAGTATTTGTTTGGCAAACTCAAATTCTCCAATCTTTTTGGCAAACGGAACGCATTACAAATTGTTCAAATAAGAATAAATCTAATATTATATTGTCTAATACAAGAATTTGCTCTTAAAATTGATATTTTGTGAATATATATTTCCTTAATCGACAAGAAAATGAGGAGCAAACTACTAAATGACAAATGCTAATTAGAGTAGTGTTTTGAATTGACAAACTCTATTATTTTTTTTTTCTTATAAGGCTACTTTAATTTGCTCATTACATACTTTAACAATTCAAGATGGACTTCGCCAAGGTTGAAAAGGGTGGCAATCCTTATGGGTTTTAAGGTATCGGTTAAGGTGAAATAAACCAAGCCATCCCAATTCTCATCCATACTATAATTTTTTATTTTTATTTTTTTGTTTTGGTTTTTTCAAATTTAGCCATAAAAATCAGCCTAACCTATTTATAGCCAATTGTACAGATGTCAAATCATGATTATCCTAAATATATCTTCTTTGCTTAGCCAGGCCAATAATTACCTTTATGTATGTAGATAGAATTTGCCAAGGTTGAGGATGGATCAAAACTATTAAATTTTGTATGAAAATCTGTTTAACATATTTTTTCTCTAATAGGTATCAATTATTAACAAGCTCATTTCAATATGATCTCTTTATTAACATCCAATTTCTTGCATGCATGCATCTACGTATAGTACATATATATAGATCGTGCAATGTAAAATTTGTCAACTTGAATTATTTATTGATTCCTCGGAAATTCATTCCCGGTTAGGCAAGGAGTTATTCAGTACATACCATGCCGTGAATTTCAAGAATTCCGGCCGGCTATATATACCTCCCTCCATTTCCTACTTTGATACACAACACAAATTCTAGTATTCGATCCAGCAACCTTAGCTTAAACAAAAATGGGTCGTCTGTCGAAATTCCCAGTCGTAGCTCTGCTTTCCGTCATGATGATAGCCATGTTTGATCTTTCCGGCGCCCAGAATGCCCCGGCCGACTACCTAAACCCCCACAACGACGCCAGGGATGAGGTCGGGGTTCCGCACATGACATGGGACAACAAGTTGGCGTCCTACGCGCAGAACCACGCCGATTCATTAACCGGCGATTGCGCCCTGAACCACTCCGACGGGCCGTACGGCGAGAACTTGGCGAAGGCGTACCCCGACCTCAACGCCGCCGACGCGGTGAAGCTGTGGGTGGATGAGAAGGATAACTACGACTACAACTCCAATTCTTGCGTCGGCGGGGATTGCGGGCACTACACTCAGGTGGTGTGGCGGAGCTCCGTCCGTCTGGGTTGTGGAAGAGCTCGCTGCAATAACGGGTGGTGGCTCATTTCCTGCAGCTATGATCCCGCCGGCAACGTCTCCGGCCAGCGCCCCTACTAATTAAGAGTATCTTTCAATTATATATATAAATAAGTGATGCATGTGTATCAACCATATAAGAAAATACTAAGCGTGTTGTTAAAAGATATTTCTCTCACTATATATATGTTTTTGTTTACCAAACAATGTATTAATTAATTTAATGATCTCTACCTGCACTCTAGCTAATCTATTACTCCATATTAACAATCTCATCAATCGCAACTTTTTTATATTTTCCTTGTTAGTTGTAAATGATGATCTACCAGAGAAAGAAATTAACAATCACTAATTAAATTGTTCATCTATGAAATTAAACGAGTCTAAAAATATAACACGCCAATTTTTCACTTGCTAATAGTTATATTGTTGGGGAAAACCTAGTCAAGTTTATCTGACTAATTAAGTAACAATAATATTTTAAGTTCAATTTTCAATACACACCATCGAATAGTACAGTAAGTGCAGATTGTTCTCTTCCTAAAAAAAGAAAGTAATTATGTTCGAGAATTGAAAGGCTACTTGCCTCCATGTTTTAGATCCAATGGAAGGACAAGATTAGTCTCGTGGTGGTGGATCAAAGAAAGAACGCTCCGGGATTTTCCCTACCCTTTCCATTAAAAAAAAAAGTAAATAAATTCAATTTTGAGTCATAAGATTATATTATAGTGGTGTAATAGCATCTTTTAAAATAACCACTTTAAAATATTCAAACACATTGTTAAAATAATTATGTCACATGAAAACATTAATATATATGTAACAATAAATATCGCACTAACCTCCCGCGCCATAGCTCCAAGTTAATGACAGTTGAGTGATCTAGACTGCTGTAGAGTTTACGCGAGTACTTTAAGAACTCCATGGTAGTGTCAGCAGTAAGATCGACATAAAATTCTGGAAGCAACCATTCTGAATAAGATCCAACATCTCTGACAGAGATAAATAATTTGGTTAAAAACGAGTAGGAACCTTTAGGAATCTCTTGCATTCAAGATTCACATTCTTTTTCAATTTTATTCACTGGTCGATATCTCAAAGAGAGCACTAATGATAGCTACATACTTAATAAATTCTTAAACTAAAGAGAAGAAAATTATATATATTATGTTGATAACAAGATCAGAACATACACTTTTGAAGTCTACATACACTGCTAGCAGCCTCTAGGCCTTGTTTTCTCCATAGTACATGGTGTTTAATTATATATTGCTCAAGCATGCATGCATGCATGGCTGCTTATTTAATTTCATGAAAGCCGTACGTACGTCCGGTAGACCGGTACGACTTGTTTATTAGGGTTTACATGACTGTAAGTTGATCAGTATGGTCTCTGTCCGACATAATTGCCGGGAGGAGAATAGTTGCAGATAACAAAGTATCCTAAATTGTTTCTGCACTGAATCCTAGCACACCCCACCTTTGTCGAGCTCCTCCAAACCACCTGCGTGTAGTGCCCACACGACTCCCCCGGCGGCGCGTTGCAAGAATTGGTGGCGTAGTTGTACCACTTCTTCTCATCAACCCACAACTCCACCGCCCTCCTCCCCGTCATGAAGGCCCCGCTTCCCCATGCTAGGTTTTCTCCGTACCGCCGGTCACCAGAGTGGATGAGTTTGCAATCCCCGGCCCGCTTGTTAGCGTAGCTTTGGGCAACCGCCGCCACGTTGTTGTCCCATGTCATCGGCCCGACGCCGACGGCTTGGCGAGCGGCGTTGTGAACGGCGAGGTAATCTTGAGGTGAGTTCTGGGCATTACAACAAGGAGTTATCACAACCACAAATATGCATATTATGCATGCAAACCAAAACGATGACACTTTTGAAACCACCATTTTTTATTTTTTTTTGGCTTCTCAATACCGGAAAAGATTGATGAATACAAAGTGATGAAGGATGCATTTTTTTCAACTGTATATATAGAAACAGATTAAAGATAGTTTTTTTTTGTTAAAGTTGAAAATTCAAATTTAGCCATAAATACCTACTACAAATCTATTCATAGCTAGACAATTGTAAATTAACTATATGTGGATCAGTGGATGGACCAAAACTATTAAATCTTGGATGAAAATTCATATCACCTATTTATCTAGCTATAAATGACTGCAATATGCATGTATTCTGTATGTGCATATTAACACCTAATATATATCTGTAGTTTTAAACAACAAATTAATCAAGAATATTGTGTTTGATTAAGTACTTAACCTTTAGTACTAAAAAAAAAGCACTTAACCTTTGTTCAACATCTCTACAATTGTGTAACAATAAACCTCACATTTTAATCCAAATTTATTTTCTTACAATTATGTCACAGTATAATTTATTTTCTTACAATTGTGTAACAGTAAACGTCACGTCACATTTTAATGATAGAATTTAGACTTGTCTCTCTACCTTTGTTCAACATATCTACAGTGATCAACCTATGAAATTGCTGAATATATATAATCGCAATTTGCTATATATACTAATTGTGGTATCAATGTGGAACGATATAATTACAATGGCTTAAGATGTTAGGGAAATGACGCCTATTCTGGTTTCTTAATACACTAGTATACTATTGCATGACGTCAAATAAGTTTGAAATTAGTACACCTATTCAACTCTTCTTATCTTTTAAAATGAATTAAATCCACATTAATTGAATCATATGATCAGATAAAGACCTGGACCATCTAGTGGTTTACATCAAATAAAAAAAAATCATACGATTATAGTATGTAGCATGTGCATGCCTGCACAGACTTAGCTCATTGGTTCAGTACGCAGTATTTGAGAGTCGAAATCAATGTTCAAACCTCTACAGTATGTAACAGTGTGGGAATTATGCCGAAAGCGGGCTGATTCTTTGTGCGAAATGCTCTCAAATGTTTTTTTTTTTTTGGGAGAAGAATAGTAGCATGTGCATATTTTTATTTTTATTTTTTTATAAAAAACATGTGTTCAACTATTAGTTGCATTCGGCAAATTTCATTCACGACTTTAAATAAATTGATCGATTTTAGTCCACGTTAGCCATACTATTGATGAATATTGAATATGAATGAGGACTTCTATTTTCAAGGACAGTTTGGTCTTTTAATTGCCTCCTGGCTCCTTATAGTAGTCCTTCACCATTTTCTAACATGAAAAAATATCTGGCAGCCAGAATAACACAATTACCATTTACCAATATAGGTTTTCCTAGATAATTAGAAGAGTTGAAAATATCGTATATTATTGGACTAACTAATGTGTTTATATTTTCTTTTGATGAAGTATAGCTAAGCTGATCGAAACATGAAGCATGGCTCAACCCATGCTCAACCAGTGAGGGCTTTTGTGTAATAAGCCTTGAAGGCATTATTGTCTTTTCCTCTACAGTTAGTTATAACTGCTTTCTTTCCCTTTCGTTTACTGGTAGTATATAGCTTTTGTTTTCTCTACTTGTAAGACTTGAGACTAATATTTGAGTAATGATGTATCATCCTTTCCATACAAAGTATGAAGTTTACAAACCCTGGGAGCTTTGCTGAGCTGATTTGATCATGGTATCAGAGCAGAGAAGAAGCTACGCTGCTGTAACAATGGCGCAAAACGTGACAGGAGGAGATGATCGTGGTGAACAGTCAGCTGGATCATTGAACCAAGGACAACTAAATCAGCACAGTGCTGAGTTCGATGATCCATACTTCCTGCACATTACAGAAAATCCAAATGTGGTGCTGGTCTCTCCAATTCTGGATGAGACTAACTATCCATCCAGGAGCCGAGCCATGAAAATGGCGTTAGAAGTGAAGAACAAGTATGAGTTCGTCAATGGAGTTATTTCGAGCCCTACTGAAGCTGATCCAAGGTATGCAGCTTGGAGGAGATGCAATCGCATCGTGTGCTCTTGGATCTTAAGATCAGTAAGCCCTGCGATAGCTGAAAGCATCATGTACTTCGACAAAGCCTCAGAAATATGGAATGCTCTCAATAAAAGGTATTCGCAATCTGATCCCCATAAGATATCTGAAGTGCAGAATGCGATCTATAAAAATGCGCAGGGAAATCAATCTGTTAACGAGTATTTCACCAGATGCAATTCTCTGTGGCAACAATTGAACACCTTAAGACCTTTGCCTGTGTGCGAATGTACACCTAAGTGTTCATGCACTCTCATGGAGAAGTTACAGAAAGAAAGGGAAGATGACTATGTCATCAGATTCCTGGAAAGACTAAGTGAGGAATATGAGCCTATTAAGTCCGGAGTCCTTGTCATGGATCCAATGCCAGACGTAGGAAGGGTGCTTAATATGACCTTGAAATTAGAAAGGAAAATCAAGGGAGCTATCAGTCAAAAATCTACAGACCTAATTCAAGCTAATGCAGCCCAGAATATGGATGAACAGAGCGTTGTAGCCTACACATCCTCAAGTAATAAAAAGAAGTTCAGCAGTAATGGAGGGAAGAATGTGCCCAAATGCACATTTTGTGGTATGCTTGGACATACCATTGAGAAATGTTATAAGAAGAATGGCTATCCACCAGGGTGGATTCCAGGATACAAAGCCAAACAAAAGGGAAATCAGGAAGGTTCACAGTCCATGAATACCTCTGTGAACCAGGTGGGTGAAACTGGCCTCTCTGATGATCAGTTCCAAAAGCTGGTAAATCTTCTGCAAAATCAGAACAAAGTTAGTCAGAACTCCTCCAATGCTGCTGTTGCTCTCACTAATCATGGACTCACAGCAGATTTTAAAGATCTTGGTGAAAATCACAGTGAAGGTAATCTTCTAATCAATGCTTTTCAGAATTCCCTAGATGTTTGGATACTTGATTCTGGTGCCACAGATCACATAACATGCTCAATAGAATATCTTAAAAACAGTTGTCAAGTCTCTGGAATATCTGTGAAAATGCCCAATGGGAAAACAGCTGAAGTTACTCATGTAGGAAAAGTGAAATTGGATAATAATGTGGTATTACAGAATGTGTTATGCATCCCAACTTTTGCTTTCAATATAGTATCTGCTAGTAAATTAACCAAGCAGGCAGGGTGCAAAATTATTGTGAAGCCTGATTGTTGTGACATTCAGGGACCTCTTGGAAGAGTGGATGGTTTTGCTAAAGAAAAGGAAGGGCTCTACTTGATTAATAGACCTCCAACCAGATTGAGAAGTCAAATGACTGATGAGAAGTTGAAATTACAATGTAATAGTCTTAGCATTGATGTATGGCATGATAGGCTGGGGCACTATCCTGCTAATAAAATCCCATCATTGAAAGGAATAAACATTACTTTTCCTGTTAAGAATGTTGAAATGGTTTGTGATGTTTGCCACTTTGCTAAACATAAAAGAACTGCTTTTCATGTCAGTGATTCCAGGGCTCAGAAATGTTTCGATTTACTTCACATGGATGTATGGGGTCCTTTTGCTGATGCTTCATTAAAAGGGGAACACTACTATCTAAATATTGTTGATGATCATAGTAGGTTCACTTGGTTACACCTACTGAAGAACAAATCAGAAGTTAAGAACATTTTTCAAAACTTCTGTAGCTATGTTCAAAACCAATTTTCTAGCAGAATTAAAGCTATTAGAACAGATAATGGCACTGAGTTCATGATGCCTGCCCTCCTTAATGAGAAGGGAATAATTCACCAAAAGACTTGTGTGTACACTCCACAACAGAATGGAATAGCAGAAAGAAAGCATCAGCATGTGTTGAATACAGCTAGGGCTCTCATGTTTCAATCTGGTCTACCTATAAAATTCTGGGGACACTGTGTTCTGCATGCCACATACCTCATAAACAGGCTCCCAACTGATGTTCTTAATGGAGGAATTCCTTTTGAGATAATGACTGGAAGGTCAGTGGACTATAGTCAGCTGAAATCTTTTGGATGCCTTTGTTTTGGAGCCACTATATCACAAGGAAGACATAAGTTCCAACCAAGGGCAAGGAAATGCATATTCCTAGGGTATCCTGCTCACATAAAAGGCTACATTTTATATGATGTATCTGACAAATCTATTTTTGTGTCCAGGGATGTTAAGTTTCATGAAAAGGTTTATCCATTCAAAGAAGCAAGTTCTGGAAAAACAGAAAACACCAGCACTGATGTCTTGAACCCCTCATTGCCCCTGGTTCCTACTTGTATTGAGAGTGAGTATTCACATTGGAAGCCTACACCTGATGTCCAGTATGCAGATACACCACATAGTAACCACATTAATGAAGACAATGAAGATCTCACAGCTGGCCTTGATTGGGATAATGAGGAGAACAGTGAGGCAGGAGTTGATCATAGTTCATCTCACATAGCTGATCAACAGTGTGATGAGGAAACCATAAATGGAAACAGCTCATCTAGTCACATTGAGAATCAAACCCTCAGGAGATCAACAAGAACCAAAAGTGCACCAATCAAGCTACATGACTATTATTGCCAACAACTGATTGCTGATGGCCCAGAAAAGAGAACATCACCTTATCCCATTCACAAGTATACAAATGTTGATCCAATCTCAGTTAAAGTATCTGCTGTCTCAACATCCCTTGAGCCTCAATCTTATTATGAGGCTGTTAAGAGTGATGAATGGAAGAAGGCTATGAAGTCAGAGATTGAAGCACTGGTTCAAAATAAAACCTGGATCCTAACAGATTTGCCTGATGGGAAAATACCAATTGGATGTAGATGGATTTATAAAATCAAACATAAGGCAGATGGATCTATTGAAAGATATAAGGCTAGACTAGTGGCCAAAGGATACACTCAGCAGATGGGAGTAGATTACACTGAAACATTCTCTCCTGTGGCAAGAATGACAACTATAAGAACCTTCTTGGCAGTGGCTGTGGCCAAGAATTGGGAGATTCAACAACTTGACATCAATAATGCCTTTCTTCATGGGGACTTAGAGGAGGAGGTTTACATGGTCCTTCCACCAGGTTTTGTGGGGGATAGACCAAATCAGGTGTGCAGGTTGCTCAGGTCCCTATATGGACTCATCCTTTCCATACAAAGTATGAAGTTTACAAACCCTGGGAGCTTTGCTGAGCTGATTTGATCATCTTTTCGGGTGAACAAGGAAACCTGCCGCAACAACGACACAAAAATGAGTATTGAAACTTTAATTCACTCCTATATAATAGTTTATAAATCATATATATATGAAAATTGCATAAGCTGCAAAAGCATGCAGGTAGGCGCGTTACATTCAAACTCATTATCTATAACATGATTTATTATTAATATAACATGCATGTAGGAGTTACAAATTAAATGTTATTATTATTATTGTTAAATAATTTGTAGTAACAAGTTGGACCATGTAAACACAACATTTTCAACTTCTTTCCTTACCCATCCAGCAGGGCAGTAATTAACTGTATGTAGATGGACTTTAGAGATGGACCAAAACTATTTTTTACCAAACAAAGCCTTAATAGTTTTGGTCCATCTCTAGAGTCCATCTACATACAGTTAATTACTACCCTGCTGGATGGGTAAGGAAATTTTGGTTTTCATAGACTTATTTGATCACTATTAGTTAAAATAGTTAACTTATCAGTCAATTTTGCCTATTTGATCACTATTAGCTGTGTGACTTGGTTAAAAAAAAAAAACAAATCAATATAAATGTTTGGTTAATCAGTTTTTTGTAATTCCAAAATGCTAAAATTAAAAAAGTTGCTCAAAATAATTTTTTCAATTAGCTTTTTAAGAAAAGAAATTATACTAAACAACTATATCAGCTAACAACTAATTCACCAAACACTTTTCTACAATCAGTTAATGTTATCAACAAGTCATACGCTCTAATCCAATTAGCTAACCGCTATCAGCTAACAACCATTTATCAAACAGGGCCTAAATCTTAGATTAAAATTTCAGTCACATATTATTTCTTTAGCTAATCTATCATTAACAATTTCATTATTCCAATTCCTTTGGTTGTCGTAAATGATGACTGTAATTAATATGTCTTCAACATACGCAAATGACTGGTATAATTAGCCCATTTTAACTAAACTTTAATTTATTCTTCCAAAAGGCTGAACCCAACCTTAAGGGTCCCACACGCCGACCCGATAAAGCATTTGAGAGAATGTAAATCATGGTAACTCAACTGAAGATGCACTAACCAACTTAAACCAAGAAGTCTAATAAATCACTCCCACAAAAATAGAACTTGTACTTTGTAGTTGCCAACTTTCTAACCAACTTGGTTGTTGCACTTTAGCCAAACAATTAAATAATATGAATGATGACCTCTATTTTAAAGTGTTCGAAAATTAGCTAAAAACGTATGTCAAGTTATCATGTTTAATTAGGTCCATCAAATTTAATTCAGGTTTTAAAGTGATGACATGTTTAATTAATTTAATATACTATACACTTAAAACGGATAATGAATGAGGGCTTCAAAATTTCAACTCAAATTCTTTATCGACGCGACAAATAATTAAATTTGAAAAAAAAAAAAAAAAAAAAGGTATATTAGAGTGGAAGCGATAAAAATTGAACTTTGAATATTTTATTTAGAACCGGATGCAATCTACACTGTGTGACTTGATCCTCCTGGCAACACTGGAATTATATATGTTTCGTTTCGTATCCGATAATATAAGAGTTAAAAGTCAATTGAGATCGATCTTGAAAATGGAGTATTGTTTTCATTACACATCTCCCAAATTTTAGATAATATATAAAAGCTAGCTTTATAGAATATGATAATTTGAACTATGAAAGGTAATCCATTATTCATATAATTTTCTACTTTCGACGCCTTCTATAGTCTACACATCACATCTCGTACCTTTTTTTTTTTTTTTTTTTTTTTTTCTTTTAATCCAGAGTTTTCACTGTCGAACACTAACTAATCACCTCGTTGAATTGTAGCCACATCTTTTAGGTATGACAGCTGACCTGGAGATTTAAGGCTGCTCCATACCCAAAGTCAATGATCGAACCCTTAACCTTTGGTGAAAGATGGATGCAGGGTTGGTTTTTAAATTTTTGTGGCCCCGTTCTGATAAAATAAATGAGTCACTACCAAAATCACAATCTTTAAAATCAATACCGTATTTTTTTCTAATAATAAGGTGGTAAAATATTGATGTGCACAAAGAAAAAAAAAAACAAAAAACATATTATGGAATAAATTACAACAACAACTAACAACAATAATAATAATAATAATAATAGTGTGCGCAAACTCGCAATGCAAAAGGATTAAAAAAAGAAGGAAAATGTCCAAAGCTAGAGCAACACTCAAGTTTCAAACCTCTTTCCAAGTTGAAATACAATAAGCACGCGTTCTTAATATTTTCCATGGAACCTTTTAAGTTTAATTGATAACTTTTAGTTTTTATTTCTAAACTAGTTAGGTAAAAATTAAATATTGGGCCCTCTAAAATTTGAGGCCCTGTGCTTTAGCCCAGCTTGCACGGCCCAAAATCTGACCCTGGATGGATGAGTCCGGCAAATTATGTCGTGCATGGTGCACACGGTTGCAAAAACAGTGTCGTTTTGACGGCTGACTTAAAAAAAAATCATTTTTGATTGCCGTTAACGGCATTATGCTGTGCATAATTTGAACTATATATCCAGAATTAATGAACTATATATTCAGAATTAGTGAATTATATATCCATAATCCACACCGGTTACTGGTACTCTGTTTTGGCTTATGGCAGTTCGCTGCGTCTGTGTATATAGAAGGAATGAACTATATATTCAGAATTAATAAACTATAAATTCAGAATTAGAAAATTATATATCTAGAATTAATGAATTATATATCCAGAATTAATAAACTATATATCCAGAATTAGTTAACTATATATCCAGAGTTAGTGAATTATATATCCACACCGAAAATGGTAGAAATCTCGTTGATTGAAGTTAAATAATAATAATAATAATAATAATAATAATAATAATAATAATAATAATAATAATAATAGTTGGTGGAGTTAAACGGTGCCACCAACGACAATGTTACTCCACCATAATAAAACAACATCGTTCGCAACTGTATGCACCATGCACAACATAATGATCGAATGAGTGCCTTAATCCTGCTTAACCATACCCTCAGGTTACATCACGTCTGCTACGTACTTCCAACTACTAATAAGTCAACTTATTTATTAACCCCCACTTATTAATCACAATAGAAAAGATGCATGTTAGACAAAAATAATTGTTTTTATGTATCACACTTATCGATCAACCCACGTACCTGACCATCCTTTTGAGGCAAAAATAATTGTATCAGACAAGATTTATACTTTTTATTTATACATAAAAATTAACATGCATGGATGCATACATAAGCTGCAGAAACAGTATGTAGATTCGTTACATTCAAACACATGATATATATATACCATGATTTATTAATGTATAGCATGCATGCATGGATATGATGTATACATGCATGCATGTATGACTACTTATTTCAAGAAATTCCCAGATTTCACACACACAGGGTTACAAATAAGTTGGATCAGTATGGGATCTCGTTATTAAAATTACCCGGAGGAGAATAGTTGCAGGTAACAAAGTGTCCGGCACCGTTGGCGCACTTAACCCTAGCGCATCCCAGCTTCACCGACTTCCTCCAAACCACCTGCGTGTAGTGCCCGCACGACTGCCCCGCCGGCGCGCTGCAAGAATTGCTGGCGTGGTGATAGTACCTCTTCTCGGCATCCCACATGGCCACCGCCGACTTCGCCGTCAAGGGGCCGCCACCGGCGGCTATGTTTTCGCCGTAGCCGAACCTGAAGCTTCCGGAGTGGGTTAGGCTGCAGTCGGCGGCTCTCCTGTTGGCGTAGTTCTGAGCGTACGCTTCCACCGTGGTGTCCCACGTCATGGGCCCCACGCCCACGGCGGCGCGTGCGGCGTTGTGGGCGTCCAGGAAGTCTTGTCGTGAGTTTTGAGCGTTACAGCACAGAGCCATCGAAAACACAAGCATGCATGCAATGAAAACTGGACTTTTCAAAAACCCCATTTTTGTTTTTACTTTTTCCTTCTCTGAATAATGAAATTACTGATATAAAAGAGATGAAGGGATGAAGTATGGCTTCAAGGGTTAAGGGTATATATAGGAGCTACAAATGTTGTTGTTGTTGTTGTTAAATAATTAATTTGTAGTAAAAAAATTTCAACTTGTTAAAAAAAAAAAAAAAGTTTGTTGTAGTTTCCCTCGTTTAATTTCTTAATTGGATGAAGTTTCCGAACGGTATTAAAAAAATCTCTATTTTTTTTACCAAGGGTTGTGTTGATTAGTTAATTAGGACCAAAACTAATCATATTTGTCCAAGGAATTCGAGGCTGATCACTGAAACCTAAAACCTTTTTAATTAATCTAGATGAAACTTGTATCCCTCGGCGGCAGTGTGAGGATTATATATGTCCAACCTTTGTGTATATTGCCATTTGATCCTGTTTGTTGAGTTATTGTGTCACTATGATTTACATCGTCCCAAATATTTTGTTGGGTCGGGGTGTGGAGAGTCATTGGGGTTGAGTATTCAACTTTTTTTGAGAGAAGAAACTTGTATCATCATATCCTCATCCCATATATTCAAAAAATCTCTTTTATGTTCAAAGGGGGTGGGTGAGTGACTGGAGGATGATTATCGTATTTCTAGTGCAAATCAAAAGCATATAATCAAGTCGGAGTAGTCTTGAGTTTTAATTTCCTTCTGGCCAAACAAACAAAAACAAACTCACTTTTAACAATAAGTTGTTTTAGCGTCATGAAATTACTTTTTATATGAAATTATCCGAAGGTGTGCTATGAGTTTTGTTTATTTGTCACAAAAAAAAAAAAAAAAAAAAAAAAAAAGAAGAAAAAAGAATAACATAACTAATTAGTATATAAATTAACAAATAAAAAACTATAAAACTTGTATAACATATCAAGAATAATGTACCTAGCTACATGCATGAGAAAGATATGTCATATATAAACCCCTAGTAGGAGTTTTCTTTTGTCACCAAAAAAGAATAACATAACTAATTAAAAGAACAACATCATAACATAAATTTTATATACTGTACCAAATTAGAACATTAAAAACTGTTTGATTTACGAGAAAAGCCTACCGTCCTTATTTGAATGTGTGCTATGAGTGAAGTTCGTCTTGTAATCCTAGTCGGCAAAGAATCACAGAGAAATAAATCAGTCTAAGTTACACATAGCTGATAAGCTCAATCCAACCGAGAAGGTCAATTGGTCATGGTGCATGCCATCTTCAACTATATTGATCATTGACTTGGATGGTGCTTGCATTGCAATCAACAAACAACAACATTGCAACTAACCTATTTGTCATCATAGCTTTAACAATTCCCAATTGCATATCTGCCTATGCTAGCAAGATTTGCTAGTCAAATATATCCAACTCAATTTTTATATATATAATTTTTCACATAAAATATAGACTGCCATTTGGTTTTAATCTATGGGGATAACTGGAACTATAAAAATATAACAATGGAAAGATAGGATACACTTAAACAAATAACACAAGTCTCAATAACAGACAAATTATTAATTTTTAGTTTGTTGTCTTAAAATATAAATGGTCAGGCAAATGGTTTTTCCATTGTATTTAAGATTTGATTTATACCATCAAACTTTTAAAGTCATTCTTTGTCCGATTCAAACTTTTAAATGTCCAGTTCAAATCTCCTCGTCACTTGATAAAAAAAAACTATGGTCCACGTGTTGTAACATAAAATGACCTCTAACGGAAGCTCTAGTATCCCGACGAGATCTCTTGTGATTCCGTCCACTGTCGTCGGCCATAACTCTCACCACTAAAACAGCGAAGAAGGATCCGGGTAATGTTGCGTCGAAGAAATCCGACAACGAACAAAGGTTAGGGTAGAAGAGACAAGACGCAATAGGCCGAAGAACTTGAGGGTGAAGAACCGCATCAACCTAGTCGAGAATGCGTAATCGATAAGAGGAAGAAACCAGCGATTAAATCGGAAAGCATCATACGGTTCATCGGCTAAAATCCCCTAAATACTCCTAGCTAGGCCCTAACTACCTAAAATAAATCATAATCAGCCCTAAGATACCAAAAAATCAGTTTTTAATCTAACCCATTGATCACCAAAAATAAATGACCAAGATGGGTTCGTAGTTCTTATCTAAAAAATGTTCATATTTGAGTATATATATATATATATATATATATATATATATATATATATATATATAGATGAGTTCTGGTGTGGGGTTGCTTCCAATAAAAAATTGAGTTAGATCTAAGTCATCGATCAAATCTAGATCAATGAGTACTCAAATCAATAATTTTTTTTTTTTAAATGTGCATCCTCCATTATATAGCCAAATGTACATCATATGTCAAATAATGATTATATTAAATATATCGGCCCTGTTTGGTAAATAGCTATTAGCTGTGAGTTGATTGGGTTAATTATAAGATATAACTAATTTATAACATTAGCTGATTGTAGAAATGTATTTGGTAAAGCTGTTTGGTATAATTTTTTTTTTTCAAAAAACTAATTGAAAAATAGAGATGACAATGTGCCCCGCCCCGGGTGGGGATCCCCGATCTCCGCCCCGACAGAGACAAGGATGGAAAAAATTTCTGGGAAACGGGGACGGGGACGGCGGGGAATATGTGTGATTCCCCGCCGGGGACGGGGACGGGGATGGGGATACCCCTCCCCGCCCCGCCCCGTCCCGTCCCCGAATATATATATATATATATATATATATGTAGACTTAGTATTTTAATTTTTGAGACTAAGAGTTAGATTTTAAATGTTTTTATTGTTAAAAATTACAATTATTTAACATTTTGATTAGGAGTTGAGTGGGGAATGGGGAATCCCTGCCCCCCCCCCCCCCCCCCAATTTTCCGTAGGGATGGGGATGGGGAGTATTTTCAATTCCCTGACGGAGATAGGGACGGGGACGGGGTTGTGGGAACGGGGAAAATGTTACAAAAAAAATTAATTAATCAAACACTTATATTGAGTTTTTTTTAACCTCAAACAATTAATAGTGATTAAATAAATCAAAATTGGCTGATAGCTAACTATTTTACCATGTCAATCATCTTTCCTTAGGCAATAGAAAATTATATTATATTGATAACAAGAACATACACTTTTAGCTAGCAAATAACGACATTGAAGTTTACATACACTGCTAGCAGCCGCTAGGCCTTATTTTCTCCATATTTATACACGTACGTACATGGTGTTTATATATTGCTCAAGCATGCATGCATGCATGACTGCTTATTTAATTTAATGAAAGCCTCCGGTACGGTAAGACTTGTTTATTAGGGTTTACATGACTTTAAGTTGATGATCAGTATGGTTTCTGGCCGACAATATTGCCGGGAGGAGAATAGTTGCAGATAACAAAGTATCCTAAATTGTTTCTGCACTGAACCCTAGCACACCCCACCTTCACCGACTTCCTCCAAACCACCTGCGTGTAGTGCCCACACGACTGCCCCGCCGGCGCGTTGCAAGAATTGCTGCCGTAGTGGTAGTACTTCTTCTCATCAACCCACAGCTCCACCGCCCTCTTCCCGGTCATGAAGGCCCCGCTTCCCCGTGCTAGGTTTTCACCGTACCGCCGGTCACCGGAGTGGATGAGGTTGCAATCCCCGGCCCGCTTGTTAGCGTAGCTTCTTGCAACCGCCGCCACGTCGTTGTCCCATGTCATCGGCCCGACGCCGACGGCTCTGCGAGCGGCGTTGTGAACGGCGAGGTAATCTTGAATAGAATTCTGGGCATTACAACAAGGAGTTATCACAACCACAAACATGCATATTATGCATGCAAACCAAAACGACGACACTTTTGAAACCACCATTTTTTTTTTTACTTCTCAAAGATTGATGAATAATAATACAAAGTGATGAAGGATGGCATTGCTTTCAAATGTATATATAGATACAAAGTGATGAAGGATGTTGCTTGCATTGCAATCAACTAACCTATTGGTCATCATAGCTTTATCAATTCCCAATTGCATATCTGCCTATGTTAGCAAGATTTGAAAGTCAAATATAACCAACTCAATTTTTATCATGAAAAAATAGCTAGGCGCCTGGGACCGCCTAGGAGACCGACAGCCTAGCGCCTAGACGCCGATTAATTGGGGTTTAGGTGCGATTTTTGCAATACTGATTTTTATATATATAATTTTTTCACATAATAAAATATAGACACTATGGTGCCATTTGGTTCTAATATGGGGACAGCTGGAATTATAAAAATATAACAATGGAAAGAAAGGATAAACTTAAACGAATAACATAAGTCTCAATAACAGCCAAATTATTAATTTTTAGTTTGTTGTCTTAAAATATAAATCAAGTGATCATTCGATTCTTATTATATTAGTATAAGATTATTACCATGTCATTTAGATTGGATTTTATTAACTTAATTAATATCAATGCAAAGTGAAATATAATAAATTAAATTAATTTAGATTTTAGTCACTGTTATATACACTATTTTAAAGGGTTATTTGGATTTGGTGCGTACACGGTACAAAGTTTTATACATAATTATGTGACCTCATTTGATTATTTAATACAGTATCAATTCAAAAGTCTTCGATAAATAAAATAAGTTGTGAAGCTATGGTATAGTAACAGATGCAAATTAAACTTGTTTGGAAAGAAATTGAAAGTCAAGGAACCTAAAGTGTCCAAATTAAAAATCGGGGACTAATTTTAGAAAATCACTATAGTCGGATGACCATTGCTGAAATTAACTCATAATGAAATAACATTTTCTTTATAGTCAAATTAAATCAATTATAAACCTTAGATTATATTACAAAATACGTGATAAAGGATGAAATTAAATTCGAATACATAGTGCTACACATATTCATCTTTTGCGTTAACAATAATATTGTTTTAATTTTGCATTATATTAACAATAATATAGTTATATGTTGACCAATCTGATATAATAAAATATAAAAGTGGTTAACCCGGTACAGTCAATTAATTGGATGATCTTCAATTCTTACTTATTACATTTCCAATTATTAAGTGTTTCATGAAAAAAAATGATATTATTTTACCCATATAAATTTCCATTCCCTAATATTTTCTTTCCATTATATAATTTATATTCATTATTGTGTGTTATAAATCAAGTGATCTTGATCTCAAATACTTTTAATTAAATATTAAACAAGCCAAATATATATATATATATATATACACACACATATAAGCATGTGAATGTTACTGGTCCTATTACATTGTAGTATCTGTTCATATACTTTCTCAACCTACTGAAACACAGAGAACCAATAACGCCTCCACTAAGGCTTGAACTCGTAACCTTCCAAATGGAAGTCCAACCCGGATACCATTAGACTACATAGTCTTGGTAAACAAATTATATATTTATATGAAATTTTACATATACATTTCTATAGAGCTCGAGCATTGAATATTTAGTGAGATTTTAGGAGTGCGTACGTGTATGAATTTTTTGGTAGACTTCGTGGATGAAGATGTAAATATGTAATATGTTGTCTTTGACGACCAAGGCCATTTATAGGTAAAATAAAGAGAATGTAGTGTGTACGGTAATATAATCATGCCTCTTTATATAGTAATGAAAAAAGGTTAAATACACTCCTAAACATTACCTGAAAATCAATTAGGTCACTAAATTTTAAAAAAAAAGTTCAATTACACCCTTAAACATGTCATATTGAGGCAATTAGATCCAATTTACCGGTAACCATGCAACAGGTTACCGGTAAATTATTGAGGTTGACTGCCGCTAAAACTTAAAAAAAAAAAATCACCGAAAAAAAATTTTCCGGTTGTCTTCTCCTAGAGAAGACGACATGACTGGTCGTCTTCTCCATTGGAGAAGGCGACTGCTGGTCACCTTCACCGGCGGAATGTGACTGGTGACCCGCCGGAGTTGGCGATCGGCGACGGTTTGGTCGTCGCCGGAATAAGAAATGACCTGCAATTGCTGGTCATTTACTTGTTCTTGGACCTAATTGCCTCAATATGACATGTTTATGGGTGTAATTAACATTTTTTTAAGTTTAGGGGTCTAATTATTGACTTTTCAGGTAATGTTTATGGGTGTATTTGACCCTTTTCTCTATAGTAATTGAGAGCTAAGGACTTGTGATCCACTGGCACCAAGTTGCTCTCCTTTGTGGGAGGTTATGGGTTTGAACATTGTAACAGAGTCAGTCGTACTCAACAAATATAAGAATTGAGAGGGATGATTTATACTCTTTACTTACATAATAATTACTATTTAATACCCTCATTTAATTTATAATCAATGTCTTAATTAACCTCCCATGCTACTTTAACAAATTTTTTTTTTTTTAACTCCATCTCTCCTTGCCTGGCCTCCATGGGTTAGGTGTTAGTATGTTTTCAAGGCCTTCATGAGTTGTACTCAAAAAATATAAGAATTGACAGGGATGATTTATACTCTTTACTTACATAATAATTACTATTTAATACCCTCATTTAATTTATAATCAATGTCTTAATTAACCTCCGATCCAATGCTACTTTAACTATTTTTTTTTAAGGTACTACGTACTTTAACTAGTTAACTCCATGTCTCCTTGCCTGGCCTCCATGGGTTAGGTGTTAGTATGTTTTCAAGGCCTTCATCGTCACCGGATCTATGTTGTCAATAGGTGTTTTGTAAAAGTGTTGGCACTAATTGAACTCGCGAACTTTTCATATGAAAATAATGATAATTTACTTATCTGATCACCCAAGACAAAAATAATATTTTAAGTATCACACAACATTTATAATCTTTATTTATACTCCGTACATAACAATTAACATGGATGCATGCATAAGCTGCAGAAACATGTATGTAGGGGCGTTAGATCAAACCTATGATCTATACCATGATTTATTAATATAGCATGCATGCATGCATGTATGACTACTTATTTCAATAAATTCTCAGATTTAATTTCACATACATAGGGTTACAGATAAGTTGGATCAGTATGGGATCTGGCCAATATAATTGCCCGGAGGAGAATAGTTGCAGGTAACAAAGTGTCCGGCACCGTTGGTGCACTCAACCCTAGCGCATCCCAGCTTCACCGACTTCCTCCAAACCACCTGCGTGTAGTGCCCGCACGACTCCCCCGCCGGCGCGTTGCAAGAATTGGTCGCGTAGTCATAGTACTGCTGCTCGGCAACCCACATGTCCACCGCCGACTTCCCCGTCAAGGGGCCGCCGCCCGCGGCTAAGTTTTCGCCGAAGCCGTACGTGAAGCTTCCGGAGTGGGTGAGGCTGCAGTCGGCGGCCCGAATGTTGGCGTAGTTCTGAGCATACGCTTCCGCATCCGTGTCCCACGTCATGGGCTCGACGCCCACGGCGGCGCGAGCGGCGTTGTGGGCGTCCAGGTAGTCTTGTGGTGAGTTCTGAGCATTACAACACAGAGCCATCGAAAACACAAGCATGCATGCAATGAAAACTGGAATTTTCAAAAACGCCATTTTTTTTCTTTCTAAAATCTTTCTCTGAATGATATGATGGAATCACTGATATAAAACTATAAAAGAGATGAAGCAATGAAGTATGGCATCAAGGATTAAGGGTATATATAGGACTATAGCAGCCTTAAATGTCACTATTATTATTGTTGTTAGTTAGTTAGTTGTTACAGTATTAAATAATTTGTAGTAACAAGTTGAACATCTATCGTGTAATCACAAACTTTTCAACTTGAGGTTTCTGAGATTTTTTTTTTTTTTTTTTAAAAAAAAAGTTAGTTTCCCTCGTTTTATTTCTGTGGATGGAGTGTTCAAACGGTATTCAACAATTCTCTTTTATTTTTTTGACCAAGTTTTTTCTTGATTAGTTAATTAGAACCAAGACAAATCATAATTGTCCAAGGAACTCGAGGTGTATCACTGAGATCTATAATTAAGCCAATTTAAACTTCCATCATCTTATTAACATCTCATGAATTCGAAAAATTCTTTTATGCCCGGAAATGGGTGGGCCGTAGATCGATTATAGTAACAGAAGGTCACGAGTTTAATTTTTGTCAACACTTTTTCAATTGAACTTGTTACACAAAATTCTTAATACAATTTATCACTTCTATATCATTTGTGGGCTATATTTGTATGTGGTTGCAGATTTCGTATGCCATCCAAAAAAAAAATAAAAAATCTCTTTTATCGTGATTTTCATAGAAGGATTTGTAGGCGTTGAGATAGTCCCGTGATTTTTCATAAACCTCCCAAATGGTTAGAGTACAATTATCATACTAGAAGATCACATATTCACATCAATATTCTTTCGGTCAAACTTAGCGTACATAATTTTTTTAGTATGGTTTTCCTCTCTATGTGATTTAATTTGTAATTTATTACATTGAAACGGACAAGAATTTAGTCTACGCATACACTCGAATAGTGGAGGTGAATTTCTCTTGTGTGACCAAAAAAAAAAAAAAAAACAATATCTATTTTAACAATTTGTTGTGATAAAAGCAAGGCTATAAATCAATTTACACGCGCGCATCCGGCCCGCATGTGATAAAATTACTTTTTGTATGACACATTAATGCATAATCCATATTAGTAAATAAATTAACAAATTTAAAATAAATTATAACACCTATATAGCATATCAAGAATAAGTTAATTGTACTAGTTGCGTAGTTGGTTTCTCACGTCACTTAAAAAAAAAAAAAAAAAAAAGTAACAACAGATAAGAAAGATTTATTCCATGCATACCATTCGGTGGTGGCTATGAATTTCTATTATCACCCAAAAAAGCATAACAAATGTAAATTTTATACACCAAATAATAAATTACCAAACCATAAGATTATATAAAAAAACTCTTTAATTTAAACGAAAACTCGCATCCGCTATCGAAATGTGCTCGATGAAGGCAATCTTGTGACCTTAGTTGACCAATGACTACAAAGATCTAATTAATTAACTCAGACCGAAGAAAGGCCAATAAGTTCCCACAAAGATTTAAAACTCGATCAAAAAAATGTTGGATTATATATATTTACTCATCAAATTTGATCTTAGCTTTGTCCCATCTTCAACTATATTGATCATTGACTTGGATGGTGCATGCATTGCAATCAACACACAACAACAACAATGCAACTAACCTCTGTGTCATCATAGCTTTGACAATTCCCAGTTGCATATCTGCCTATGTTAGCAAGATTTGCAGGTCAAATATATACAACACAATTTTTATATACATGTTTTTTCACACAAAAAATAGACTATGGGCCTGGCCATTTTATTTGGTTCTAATATAGGGATAGCTCGGATTATAAAAATATAACACTGGAAAGAAAGGATAAACTTTAAACAAAAAACATTAGTCAATAACTGCCAAATTATTACTTTTTAGTTTGTTGTCTTAAAATATACATCAAGTGATCATTTAATTTGATTCTTATATTAGTAAGATAAGAATATTACCATGTCATTTAGATTTTATTAACTTAATACTAATGATCATGCATGCCAAAACAGGGGTGCAAACAATAAACAACCAATGAGAAACAATGTATAGTAGTATAAAGATATATAACATGATAAACAAAGTATAATGTAATCAAATGAAATAATAGAATGAATTAAATCTTGAAACCTAGGTATGAATTCTTTGAATACAAGCTTCAATAATATATGTTAAAAGAAAGCTAAATTTAAGTCTATTTTCATTAGAAAATAAGTAAAGAATGGTTCAACATTGACTAGAGACATTCAAAAGAGGCCCAAACCTGCCCCCCCCCCCCCCAAAAAAAAAAAAAAAAAAAACTTCAATTTGTGCTTAAATATTTAAGACAAAGTACAAAGCAACAACTAACCACAAGAACAGTCATGCAAACCACCATTCATTGTTCCCAAACTGCCCAAGAATGAGAACCAGGACTCAAGATAGGCAACCCGGCCCAAGATAAACGATCTGGATCAAGAAGGCGATATGTCAAAAAGTCCCGAAAACTAAGATTATTATTATTATTATTATTATTATTATTATTATTATTATTATTATTATTATTATTATTATTATTATTATTATTATTATTATTATTATTATTATTAGGGGAGAAATTCGAATTTTCTAAATGTTAAAACTTTTGCCCAAGTCCTATACCTCTATATATCTATCAATGTTCCAATCCGCAATTATGGGTAGGATTGAATCCTGTAATCACCCATTTGAAATTGTAATAGAGGAATCATCATACTATATAGTAGTTGGGTACCTCTATATATATATAAAGATATGTATTTTTGTAATTTCTCAACCTTCTACTTAACTTTTTCCTCCAATTTTGAGGTAACATTGATATTTATCAATTTTGTCACGAAGAGACTATATTTATCACCAATATGACAATTGAGAAACTAAATGTGTAAGTTCTAATAATTTGATACTAAGTTATCTATTTCTCCATAATTAACGTGGTGTTTGGTTGAAAATTTTTGTATCCTATTGTCAAATTTAATATACATTACCATATTTATTTGCCACTTTTGTAAATCTATTATTTGATTTTCATTACTCTTCTCAAACCTACTTTTAAACATTAGAATAAAAAATTAGGAAGAAAAAAATAAACTAAAATAAAAAATCATTCTCAATGCATTTGATATAGAACTAACTTTAATATATATATATATATATATATATATATATATATATATGAATTTGAGATCATCGTTTATATTTAATAGTTTTGCTAAGGTTTTGATAGAAATTAATTAATGGACGTGATTGAAATTCGTACAACTGATAGTTACAGAGATTTTTTGAATACTATTGGACAACTTTGTCCAAAGAAAAAATAGGGATTGTATGTTTGGTTTAAATAGGAATAGTATTTGAAAACGAATACTTAGGAATTGTAATGCGTTTTGATAAATATAGTTTGTTTGTTTGGTTGTAAATAGGAATTGAAAAATAAATAAATAAATAGAAATATATACTCCCTAATGCACATACTTAATTATATATATATCTGGTGGCCAGGCTACCGACGGTAAGATTCAAGTCAAAAAAAATTCTACGAATCTCTTAAGCTATATATATATATATATATATATATATATATATATAGCTAATAATGAATGTATAATTTTATTTCTTTATAATTCAAACACATGATATGTTAGGATACCAATTGTCACATCAAGCGATTACTAAACATTAAAAATTATATCTAATAAAAAATATATAATTTTATTTTCTTATATTTGCATAATAGTCGCCATAATATTCAACTCTCAAAAGTAGCCGCACATACAACTTATGACAAAAAAGCTAAGGTAATCGTATTAAAATTAGCTAGCTAGGTAGCTACATGTTAATTGTCTTTTGTTGCTCTATTTTCCAAGCATGCATGCATATATGAATGTTCTGCTCTTGAGAGTGGTCCTGTCGTTACGAAGTTTTCCAACTAATCTAGGAAAATCTTGAGATGATAATACTTTTCGAAACTGTTAATTAATCAGTCATGTCTTGTTGTCAATTTTCGATAAAAATTATTAAATTTATAAGATTATATATATATATATATATATATATATATATATATATATATATATATATATATATATATAACCATATACATTGACACATTGTCTTTCTTGCAAGATTTGTTCAAGTCAATGTGTCGAGCGTGTTCATTTATACTTTATTTATTTTGTTTATAAATCACAAACTGATTCGGGTCTTTCTCTTTGTTTAACGGTCTAGATCCATCTGACTAATTCTTATTCGCTCCGAGAAGCTTGGAGTCGGCCCATTTATACATTATATAGCCAAAAGGCAGAATGATTCATTCAACGTACGTAAATATATAGCTAGTCAATCAAGATTTATCAAAAGTCATTAAGGTTTATGTGGGATGGTCTGATATGAACTCAAAAAAATTTACATATATATATATGTGTGTATGTATAGAGGATGAGTTGTATAATATAAAATGGACATAGAAAATTTTTACGTGAATACTGTAAATGTGAAAACACAAACATTTTCAAGTGATGCCATGTCAAATTCATTATATTTGAGAATTTGTACATGTACATTTCTATAGAGCTCGAGGTTTGAATGATATTTCATGAGATTTTAAGAGTGTGGATTTTTTGGTAGAGTTCTCGAATGAAGATGTTTATCTTCGTCGTCTTTGAGCTGGTCATTTATATTGAAAGAGAATAGGGTAGCCGCTAACCTTGCCTTAATGGGCGCTTATCAACACAATAGGTGGAAGATTCTCAACACCTCCCCCGTAAGTGATGAGTCTTATCTTAACGACTTGGTGCATGTCACATGTGCTCGCAGAGTGAGAGAGACAAGCTAGTGTCTTCTCCCCCGGGGTTTCCCCCCTCCCCTTCTGATGATAAAATAAAATAACATAATCATGCATCTTTAAAAGTATAGTTGATAATTTGAGTATTAATTAGGGTGTGAAATATTATTAAATTAAGATTTTTAGATATGATAAATTACTAAATATAGTTATGGTAATATTTAATTAAAATTTAAATAAAATCCAACTTTTTTCTTATATATTTAATGTTTACATACATTATTAACATAGAAGAATATAAAAATATTATATATATATATATATATATATATATATATATATATGTGTGTGTGTGTGTGTGTGTGGAGTAATAATAATAACAAATGATAACATAAGTTATAATTATAGGATTAATTTTGTCTAAAAATTGTACTCCGTATAATACAACTCTTATAATATGTAAAAAAAGAATAAAAAAATAAAAAAGTTAACAAAAAAAAAGACATCAATCAGGGATGGGGGGAAATAAGGCTTCCCAAAGCCTATTCTTTCTTTCCTATCATTTATACATATAGGACTTATATACATACGGACGGTGTAATGAAGAGCCCGTAGTGATTTATACTGGGAATTCCCCCGCGTACAATTCGATCTTGACCCTCCGATCGAGCTGAACCGCAGCCAAACAATCTCAAAAATCATGGATCACGGGGATTGAACCCGACGTGAATCGAACACGCAACCTTCTGATCTGGAGTCAGACGCGCTACCATTGCGCCACGGATCCTTGTTGAATATAGATAGGAAAATATTATGACATCATTTAATGACATTCTGTTATTGCGAGAATTTGGGTGATTATCTGGAGTACAAACTAGTTGTTATAACAAATAGTTTTGCTAAAACATGGATGCAAATGAGCTTTACCCCTATTCTCTCTACTTCTCTTTGTGTTTAGACACCTAATTCTTCAAGTCCCCAGTCATCTGCAACATCATCGTCTTCAACTCACAGGACTTCTGCAAAACCATGCATACTGTAAAGGCATCCTCAATAGTTAAAAATTTTGAGGAGATTTTGCAGGTGCGATTAGGAAAGAGGAAATGGAAAAGAAGAAAAAAAAAACAAAACAAAACAAAAATATGAAAATAAAATAAAATAAAAATTACGCGCTCAGGCCGGCGCGAGAGTTGCGCCTCACATCTACTTTGTTGGGGGACCCATCATGCCGGCCAAAGTCTCCATTTTGAAGGAAGAAAGTTTTCATAAAATGTTGTATTCTCATTTGTTAAAATTTAACCCAATAACATTTTAATGTTCAAAAATTTGGTAAAGAGTCCCCTTTTGGGGATGCCCTAATAACATCTTCGGTATTGCACCTTGAATCTCTGCTCGGACTACTTTATCTTATGTTCATACTTGTTTAATACGGAGTAATATTAATCCTATTATAATTATTTTAATATTAGACATATATTTTTAGACACATAAAATACTAATCCATATTACATAATATATGAGTGATGCTAATATATATGTGATAATAGTAAATTAATTTTTTCCAATCCGGTATTTAATTATTAAATGGATTAACAACATAACACTCATAAAACATTCACAGAGTGGCAGAAGATTTTATGGTGACGTGACCCAAAAAACATAACACTTACAGAGCATACTTTACACGAAAATCCATTACGTACTAAGAGCTGGGTTTATTAAGCATGGATACATGCAATATAATGTATGCGTGTGTGCCTATTTCATGAAAATCTCAGATTTAGTAAGGGCTCTGGCCAATATAATTGCCCGGAGGAGAATAGTTGCAGGTGACAAAGTATCCGGCGCCGTTGCTGCACTGAACCCTAGCGCAGCCCACCTTGAGGGAGTTCCTCCAAACCACCTGCGTGTAGTGCCCGCACGATTCCCCCGGCGGCGCGTTGCAGGAGTTGGTGGCGTGGTCGTAGTACTGCTGCTCGGCAACCCACATGTCCACCGCCGACTTCGCCGTCAAGGAGTTTTCGTCACCGCCCGCGGCTATGTTTTCGCCGTACTGCTGGCTGCCGGAGTGGATGAGGCTGCAGTCGCCGGACCTCTGGCTAGCGTAGCTTTGAGCGTACGCTTCCACCTGCTCGTCCCACGTTATGGGCTGGACGCCCACGGCGGCGCGGGCGGCGTTGTGGGCGTCCAGGTAGTCTTGTTGTGAGTTCTGGGCGTCGCACCACAGACCCATCTCCAAGACAAGGATGCATGCAAGGAAAAGTGATGAAATTTTCAGAAACCCCATTTTTTTCCTTCTCTGAATAATGGAATTACTGATGATATTATAAAAGAGATGAAGTGATGAAGTATGGCTTCAAGGGTACGGGCCGGGTGTATATATAAGCTAAGCAAAAAATTATTATTACAAAAAATAATGAAATAATTTGTACTGATAATTATTGGTCACCATGATGTAAGCACAAAATTGGGATCGGATGTCATCATCTTACACAAATGATTTGCAAATTAACGCACTAGTTAGGTCTTGAAATGTGTGAAACACGATTCGTATACATGAAGGTATTAATATTCTCTTGGTCAAACTTGTTGCATGTATCTTCATTGTGTAATTTACTTTTCATATGATTAGCAATTATAGAAAAGTACTCCCTTCTTCTCATTTTGTGTGTCTGGTTCGATTAACGAGGCAAGAGTTATTTTTAATTCAATTTTTCATAACAAATTTAGTATTGTTTTTTTTCAAAGATAAATTAATTAAGGAACTATCTTTTGTATTTACTAAAGGGATTCTATGAATTCCTAGTAAATCAAATTTGATGGCTCAAAATAAATGGATTATCCTTGATTGAATTTGATACAATTATGGATGCCGCGAGTTACGGCTAATTGACTGCAAAAATGAGACCAGAAATGAAGATGCATTTGTAGTATTCTCATTTCTCAGAGTGCATCTCACGTTACGTTATTGACAATTTCATATTTACTGGCAACCTTTTGAATTATCACCCCCGGCCTAATAAGCTAATCTAGATGAATATATACACTGAATATTAGTTCGTAAATTACACACACACACACAAATCGCATTAGAAAAACTATGTATATTGTTGTGACATTCTGATATAAAAATTATACTATGCTTTTGATTGAGTCATATATACTTCAAGATTTGACCATTGGATCATGGCCACCACTTCCCGTCAAAGGGATTTACCACGAGACAACAGTACTCAAAAATAAAAAAATTTCAATCCACTTTTTTTCTAAACCAAACCGAACATGTGACTCGATCAAACATGAGTAAAAAGCGAAAGTTCATGCAATATCAGTCCTAAAAATTTTATATAAGAATTTGTAAATGAATCCGAACAAATCGCAGGATCTACATAGGATTAATGTTATTATCTTACAACTGTGTCTATCCCACATAGACACACCATTCGTTAGTCCTACCAAAAACCTTCCGATGAAGAGCAACCTTAACTTCAGTGTTTCATTCAAATAGTTACGAGGTGACTAGCGAGCTGAGAGATGCTTTGGATCTTACTCAAAAGGCACGAGGAATCACGTACAGCACGGTCAATGGAGTGGTTTGAGGTGGAAAACCTGGCATGCTGGCACGTAAGACTGTTGCATTGCTGCTTGGTCGAACTTCTTACTTGCATCTTCGTTCTCTTCAAGGTTGGCCTGGACGAAGAACCTTATCCACCACGACGGGGTCCTAAATTTGGCCTTTAATTTAGACGAGAAAACAAATCAATTTAAGGTCGGTCCATCCATCAATATCTCATGTATTCAATTAAGTTCTATACAAGTATGACACCATTGAGAAATAAAATCTGGAGTAAATTAAAGATTGGTGACTTACAGGGCGTCCAAACTTTGACATCTCCGCTATTTTGGCTCTTCGCTCACCTGGAATTCCTGCAAGTTCAATAGAAAATTAAAATTCTTGGTTATAAGGCCAATCCTCATTGTGCCATTCTTATTAGACACTGAAGGTGAAAGCTAATTATATATGTTCAGATCAAGTGATCGAGAATATAAATGGGAGTGTGCGTGCTAAAATATTTACCAGAGAAGACGACTAAACCATCATTAGCCACCCGAGCCAACTCGGGAAGAGTCTTGTTAATATATTTCGGGGACAGGTAATCCATGGCATCCGAGACGATGACAAGGGAGAATGACTTGGCACGGTAGGGAAGTCGAAACTTGATATCAGCAGCGCGCACAATCCCTTTCCCGACAAGACTTTTGCAATTGGCATCAGCATCTTCTAAGTCATATGGTTCAATACCCCACGCTTCAGTGTCCTCCTCGTTTAATAATTTGGAGACTACTGAACACGTGTCTGGACCGACATGCAATACTTTGTTTATGCTTTCACCGTACGCCTTTTTGAGTATAGGATATGCTCTTAGAAGCTCTAATGTGCACGAAACGCCACCTACATAAAGTCAGATGAGGCTTTTCGAGCTTTAAATTTGCATTTGGTATGATCGACCATCTTATATGTCTTCATGGGCTAATGAAAGAGAGGAAATGAAACTTGGAATTAAATCATCAAGATATACCAATGGCGCAAGAGTGATTGCAATTTACCTTGGAGTCTATTGAAATCTTCAAGTCTGCTTCTTCCACCTGTCACATAGAGACTTTAAAAACTCAAAATCAATGTAAAAAAAAGTAGAAAGTTCGTAAGAAACCCAAGAAAGGGGTAAATCAGCAGCTTCTCTGACAACTCCCAGCGATCAATAAGAACAAAGGTAACGAACAACGAGCAATGGGCCAGTGTATATACCTGGACCATGATATAGGTAACCAACAATGAGCAATGCACCCTGAAAGTTTCGCAAAGAATACACTTTTTTCAGTATTATTGCCTCTAAACTAAATCAACTGACAATTATCATGTCAAGGTCATTATGGTGAGTAACAAATGTTTCAATAAGCTGTAATTTCTCCGCTTACCACAACCACAAGTCCTATAGACAAAAATGAAGATGGGCGTGATTTTGGATGCAACGAGCCCACGAATGGAATGTTTGCAGGATCCATCAGACGACGGGACGTATTTGGCCTTCTTGACATTGTAACTAAGTCGCACTTAGCAAGTAAGACCTAGTGAAATTTAAGACAAGCTAAGGGTAAATTCTTAGGCAAATGAAAGAAAAGAAGCAATCTTTAAGTGAAAGTGGGTATCTGAATGAAAACACATATTTTCATTTGCTGGCAGAATAGCAGTTTCCCCTCAAGTACAATTAACTACTCCCTACAAGACATCTGAAACTTGGAAAGAACATCGAATTTGGTTACTACTCCATGAAGCATCCTAGATAAAATCCGACACCATAGAAGTAAAAAGGTTAACACCTAACCTGATCCACTAGATGTCTGGTCTGGATTTAACAATTCGGGTATGTATGGAATTTGATTTTAATCCAAAAGCTTGCAACTTTAACCACTCGATTGAACATTAAGCACAGAAACAAGATAAGACAGAGTAAAAGAAAAAACAATGTCATTTCATTCAAGTACAGTAAGGTAAACAAGTGCATATCAAAAGCGAAACGAAATGGCATTCGGATAATAAGATTTGGAGTTGGGAGTTTGAACTATGGAACAGTAGCAACTAGCAAGATGGAGTTGAGTGGTACCAGAGAGGAAACTGACGAGCTGAACTGTTCGATCTGATTGATGTCTGAATTGAAACTCTGAATATTTTCGGTTTAGCTCCACTTCTGTAGCTCGGAAAAAACATAGACGAATCTTGGACGAGAAAAACACGGATTTTCCTCGGATTAGGGAGTTGTTTTTCTTTAGGATTTAAAATTAAAAATAAATTGTTCTTCTGGTTCAAAACTATGATCAATATTAAACAACCCAGGTTTCGTTAATTACTCCCTCTTAATCTAGATGGATTGTCCGGCCCATAACCTCGTTATATTCTCTGGAATTTGGGCTGCTGAACGAATGTAAATGGGCCGATTTTCTTTGCTAAAGCTAGGTTGATATAATGATATCCTTCCGGCCCATTATCTGTGGTATTTGGGTTTTGAAAGGAATATAATGGGCCAGAGTGCAGTTGTGGAGTCCAATATTATCAAAAATGCTGGCTGTGGGGTTCGAACCCACGCGCACTTATGTGCAGAAGATCTTAAGTCTTCCCCCTTAACCTCTCGGGCAAACCAGCTGACCGTTTATGTGTCTTGAATTAAATTATAATGAGAAGTTCAGTTGTGGAGTCCAATATTATCAAAAACTGCTGGCTGTGGGGTTCGAACCCACGCGCACTTATGTGCAGAAGATCTTAAGTCTTCCCCCTTAACCTCTCGGGCAAACCAGCTGATTGGTTCTGTTTGTTGAATTAAATTATAAGACTTTGTACTTATTTCATATATAGTTCTACTTAATATGAAAAATAAATGTGCCGAATAGTCCTTTGTATAATTGTATTATGTCATTGATGGGTTATATGATAGCTCAATAACCCAAACAATACATTTATTAGATCAAGCTTGAGAGATGAGTATGTTAGAAGATCAAATTAATCACGGTTAGTCAAGAAACTAATTAATCAAGCCTACGTGTACTAAGTAAATCAAATTAGATTGACCTTTACGTATCACATTGTAAGACTATGCAATCATAGTTGTGTCGTAGAATTGTTGTGCTATTTAACTAAATGTGTACATTTGTCAATCAAAGCTCCATAATGAAGCCTCACTTAGTACATGTCATCACAGTGTTAATTGCGAGTTCTAATATAAATAAGATATTTTCTTTGTATCTCAAAATCATATTATACTTCACACCAAAATGTGTACTAGTTTATTTTTGTAAAATAAATCAAATTTATTCAATCACCACTTTTATCGCTTGGTCTTTCAATATAAACCAACATGATATGACCACACTTTTCACCTAATGTATTGGTGAAGATGAGTCTACGCTATCAATAAATTATAAATAATATTAAAACAAGATATGTATGTACAATAGAACCACGTATTCCCCAATTTAATTACACTTGCACAAGGTTTTATTTCTTGGAATGGACCGGACATGGCATATAGGATTTGGCCCCACATCAAGATTTGATACTCTGGCCTCTAGTGTGATAGAACAGTGTGGGCCCCAAAGGTCCACCACGGAGGATCCACCTTTTTGTCCGCAATAATAATCATGTATGCATAAAGATAATCACAACTACTATTTAAATGTGTGTACTGAATAAATTTTATTTTTATATAATAATACACAAATCAATTATATTGAATAGGTAAATCGATAAGGTTCCAAATTTGATGTCCATTGGAAATAACGTAAATTGGTTTATCTCTTTATATATGATATTTTACTGGCTAAACTTATAAGGCGTAAATCAAATGAAACCTAAATCACACTAAAAATACTTTATTTAATAGACTCATCCGATCGAGAGAGCATTAGAAATATGTATATATTTGATGTTACTCAAGTAAATTACATGTTTTTTTTTTTTTTTTTACATAATTGATATTTAATGAAATAGATATAACTTTTTAATTTCATGAATCAATTGAAAATCATAATATATTGTATATGATATTGTAGCTCATAGCATATGCGCATAGTGTCATGGAATCTAAATTGAATTATAATGGTATAAACTAACATGCAATATTAAATCCACTATGATACAAAAATACTTGAACTAACATATATACCATGTGGTATAAGTTATGATATCATATTTTATATTATTTGTAGTCTTCGGCCACCATATTGGACTATATAATATCCACCGCGTGTATTAAATTTATTGGACTAAGTGACTAAAACGCCACCCCGCTTCTACACTATTAAAACACATTACACTTTCAAAAATAATTAAGCATATACACAAAAGCACCATGGCAACTTTAGGTAAAGATTCAAGCTAGTATTCAACTAACCTCATTTAAACATGTATTAATTGATTTACTTAAAACTCTAGTAGTGTGGCCTGGCCTAAGCATAGATAAGGGGACATGAAAGGAAAGCTGGTCCAATATGAGCTATATAAATACGTACACAATCAAAGTAACGTGTTTGAATTGGATAACTATGGAAGTTAGGATAAAATTATTAATGTGTTAATAGCTGTAAATTATATTTAAAAAATATTGTGTAACATGTTCAATTTAAAAAGTGTTAATAAAACTTAAACTCATGAGCTTTTAATACGATGATCTTATTTTATTCACTCGATCATATATTTCCAAGCTAGACGCCTAGATTAGTGCAAATTTAATCTATGAAAAGCAGTGGCCGGCTAGATACATCAAACCTACTTTGTACGTAAACATACAAGCAAGGAAAATAAAAATACTTGGCGTACATAGATTTTTCATTTTATGGTTGGATGGTTTGAAAAATGGGTGCCATAAATGAAAATATTGTTCATGTACTATGAGTAATTGTATAAAATATATAATATATTTGTATAGGTATTGATGTACAAAAACTTATAGATGTTGGTACACGTAACTTTAGTTGGTTAAGTGGTTGAAAAATCTGTATAACCTGTATTAATAAATAAATAATGATTTTACTTCACTTAACTATAGAGGATATATATACACATTTCATTTGTGGATATAGTATTTGTATACATAATATTGTTCCATAATGCTCTGTCGGGCCGGGGTGTGGGGGGCCCTTAGGGTTGGAGTTCAGCATTTTTTTTTTTGGAATAATAATATTGTTCGTATTAAGTGAGACTCGATCAACTTGTTTTACTCCATGCATAAAAATAACAAAATACACATAAATTCAATTCAATCACATATTAAATAATTATATAATTTAATAGTGAAAACTTGAATTTGTTAAGACTAAAAAGACCTAACTTTTATCGTTATAATTTTTATGTTAAATCGTTGTGTCTTGTACTCTTGTATCATCAATCATCATATATTTACCAAGTTTTATCATTTTATTCCACATTTCTCTATTAATTTATAATAATGAAATCATTTTTCATTGTCGAAAGGTTATGGCCTGTTTGGTTACATAATTAACTTATCATTCAATTTTGACTTTATTCGTTGTTTTTTTTTATTATTATTATAATGGAGGGAAATACCCAAAAGTGGCAGAGAGTTACAAAGGGGTGTTTACAGTGAGGCGCCAATGAGGCAAAGCAGTATAATCATCCTCTAAGATTCCCAGAATTTCCTCAGGTGGTGTAGTAAACATACGCAGCCCTTTAGAGAGACCTCTGGCCAGTCTTGCCATGAAATCAGCAGCTGCATTTTGTTCACGGCAGATAGTGTGGATTTGCCAAACCTCGAATAGACGCAGCTCTCTTTTGCATGCTAGTATTATGTTGTGGGCTACCGAAGAGGGTGGTAAGTTATTGTGGACATATTTGGCTATCTCTGCACAATCCGTTTCAAAAACTGGTTTTTTAATACCCAAATGGATGGCCATCTGTATTCCTTTTAGGAGGGACCAAGCTTCTGCTTCCAATGGTGAGTGTTTGATTTGGTTAAACAATCAATATGAGTGTTTGATTAATTAGTTTTTTTGCAACAACTTATTGCTCCAAAATACTAAAGTCCAAAAAGCTAGCAACTCAAAGTAATTTTTTCGATTAAATTTTTGAGAAAGTCATTTTACATGTAATCAATAATCAACTAACAGCTAATTTACGAAACACTTTTATACAATCACCTAATACTATTAATTAGACAAATTCACTAACTCAATCAACTAACAGCTAACCGTCATTTACTAAACACTCCTGTGTCTACTTTTTAAGGGTGCCATCCATTCAAATTATTATCAAATTCTTGTATCTTAATTCAAATTTAAAACAAGTAGCAAATATAATTAGACTTTTGTATTTTTACGTATTTATATATTATATCAATATAAAATTATAAATTTACACTCTAATTGATCAAATCTATTTGAGTCGGTATACATTAATTTACAAGTAAAAATTCAAACTTTATAATTAAGTGATGAATTACACCCTTAGGACCATGCTAGCAGATTGCTAGTGATGTCATATATGAAAAAGAAATATACAAAAAAATAAATAAATTTCAGTTGATATGTCTTTGATGATGATGATGTCCGTTAACTCGATGAGGTTATCCCGGCCATTTCCTATAAATAGTAAACCTTACTACCTTAGCCTTCTCATGAAAAGAGGCATTCAAATAAATAAAATAGAAAAGTGCAATTAGCTCCGATCTCTAAATTCTAAAAAATATAATTAAACACTCAACTAATTATTTTAATACAATGAAATTTTAAAATTAATTAATGATCTACAATAATAAATTACTTGCAGGTTATTTAAATTCTGATGACCGACGATTTCATCGGAGGAGAAGGCAACCACATATGGGTCGCCCCTTCTCCTAGAGAGGGTGATCACTGTAGTCGCCTTCTCACAGAGAGGGCGACTACTGTAGTCGCTTTCTCCACGGAGAAGGCGACCACTATTGTCTCCTTCACTTGGAGAAGGCAACCACTGCTATCGCCTTCATATGAAAATGGCGGCCACTGGGTCGCGTTCTTCAAAAAGGGTTGCTGGTCGTCGTTTTTTTTCCAATTATTATCGTTAATGATAGTAAACGGCGGGCAATGACAAATGGTGACGGTTAACAATGACTTATTTAGGCTTATTTGATTCAGTTTACTAAGTTGAAATGTTAATTGCACTTTTATAAGTTTAGGGATCTAATTGTACTTTCATGTAAAGTTAAAGGACTTATCTGACCTTTTTTTCAATAAAATATAACTGACCTTCTATTAACTTTTTTAGTTTTTTTAAGAAGTAATATATGTTCTACCATAGAGATTTAATCATGCTACAAATCATTTAGAATAGTAACAGAATTATTATCATACTACATAATAATTGGCAACTTGGTATGATCCAATATCTAAATTATTATAAGAGTTAATGCCTTATGGGGTGAGTATAGTGGTTTTGCCACGTTTAATCCTAAATTTTTAAATTGACCACATTGATCCTTCGACTTTCAAATTGTTACCGTCAGTGGTCCAAGTTAATCTTCATAGTCTTTCAACTTTCAAAATTTAACCAGTCCCGATGCTCTTGGAAGGACTATGGGTGGTTAAAATTTGATAGTTGAAAGATCATAAGTGATTAATTTGAACCACGGTTGATAATAATTTAAAAGTTGAAAGATCACAGGTGGTCAATTAAAAGCTTAGGGCTAAACATGAAAAAATCACTATATTCGGAGGACCCAAATGGTATTAACTCATTATTATAACAAGTGAAACATACTCCACATAAAATCATTGTCATTAACCTTAAACACATGATTCTTAATATCGACACAACTCATAAATTATTATAACAAGTGAAACATACTCCACATGTAATCATTGTCATTAACCTTTAAAACACATGATTCTTAATCTCGACACAACTCATCATTCGCAGTTATAACGCTTTACATGAAAAAGACCTGCCGAGCTATTTTCAGTTAAAGATGGATGCTTTCTTTTTTTCTTGATGCTTCTAGGAGTAAAAGGAGCAAAAAAGTTAAGAATGGCAGCAGCCACCCACCCTTCTGGCTTCTGCTACAAGCGACGATCTTACGCAGATCCCGGAGAAATCAAGAAAAAAAGCGAGCGAGCGAGCGAGCGGCACAAACGGCGTATAAAATGGTTCTCTGTAAATTGTAGAAATTGTAACCGCAGTGAAATAACGCAACGAAGCGAATTGCCACCACCGTGACAAGTACGGAAGTGCATATTAAAAGTAAGAGGACCTGGACCCTTCCATCAGCGTCAAACCCACAGCACAGCACGATAGATATAACACTCTCATCACCATCATCCCAAGGAAGCTCACACGTCCCCCATTCAACTTTCACCATTATTGTCCACGATACAAACACATATTCTATTATATTATATTCCCTCACATATTATACGCCCGTTGCTTCTGTTGCTGGGGGGAAAAGGAACCCATCATCAAAAAGTTATCTTCTTGCCCCTCAATTTCATCTCTCTGTCTCTCTGTGAGTGAAACCCAGATTCTATTTGTCTTGGGAGGGTGAGAAATGGAGGTGATAGACTACGGGGCATCGATTCTCTAACAGCGAATTAACTTTTAGGGCTCAGGGTTTTGAAGGAGGACTGTTCTGGGTTGTTGTGTGGAATGGCGGTGGAGTACAAATGTTGCGAAACAGGGTTCTTCATTCACATCGTTGTAATCGTTCTTCTGGTTGCTTTCGCGGGTTTAATGTCGGGACTTACGCTGGGGCTCATGTCGCTCAGCCTTGTTGATCTTGAAGTTCTTGCCAAGTCTGGAACTCCCCAAGATCGTAAACATGCCGGTACGGCATCTTTACTGTGACTGATAAGCTTTCTGATTCTGTGTGTCTACTTCTGTTAACTGAAATTAACTAAATTGTGCTTGATCTGTTGGTTATTTAAGTCACTTAACACGTTAGGACTTATTAAATTGGTCGGATAATCTTTGGGCAAAACTAAAGACACAAACTTTACTGGATATGGTAAGTTTGGGCTAAGCGGCTCCACCTTTGATTTGGAGAGACATTTTGAGAGAACCTTTGACATTTATGTGTTGTCTGTCCTTCATGGAGTTGGGGTGGGTGATGGCTAATGAATATAGTATTGATGCTTTTGGTGTTTTGGATTCTTCAGTTTGGCACTTTTAGGGTAACTGGGTAAGTCATCTATGGAGCAAAAAATACTAGTTTTTTGCAAGTCATCCACTGTGCTTTCATGGTGGTTGAGCATTTTGCTTTCATCCTCTCTAGTTTCTTTCAGAAAAGCAACTAAGAATACTGCAGAGAAATTTCCTAAATAGAGTACTTGAATTGCTTAGAGATAACGTATCGATTGAAAAGGTGAGAAGAATGTTTAGAACTGACTTGTGTGTTTGACATTGCGAATTGAAGTTCATGCGTTTGGAAAGCTAATTGCCATTGATGTTTTTGTTATACTTTCTTTTATATTCTCATATATACATCTTTTGTTTTGTAATTTTCTTTTTCACTTTTGATATCAGCAAAGATATTACCCGTTGTGAAAAATCAACATCTGTTGCTATGCACACTCCTAATTTGCAATGCTGCAGCCATGGAGGTATGAATAATGGGCATATTTATTTAAGGAAGCACTTTTCTCCCTTTAATATGATATACAGTTTAAAAGTTGAAATTTTTTCTTTTCTTTTTAGACGCTTCCAATATTCCTTGATGGTCTAATTTCAGCTTGGGGTGCTATCCTGATATCTGTCACTTTGATTCTTTTGTTTGGTGAGGTGAGTATTTTTTGTTTGGTCGTGTTAAAACTTGAAACCTACAAACTCTGGTCACTATTGAATGGACACAGGCTCTCTGGACTCGAGCTTCTTTCCAAGAGAGAATATCTTCAACCGCTTAGTGAAATCACAATGCTATTTGCAACTTGTGCAGATCATACCACAGTCGGTGTGCTCGAGATATGGATTGGCTATAGGGGCTTTTACAGCGCCAGTTGTCCGTGTTCTTGTCTGGATATGCTTTCCCATTGCATATCCTATTAGCAAGGTAAAAAAGTTGTTTAATGCTCCAAAAATCACTTTGACAATTGTCAGCTTTTGGCGAAGTATTCATTTTTAGTATGGTGTTTATTGGCCTTTGAAATCTATTGGTGTTTCAAGAGAGTTACCGTTTCCCCATTATTTTCAGCTGTTGGACTTCTTGCTAGGTCATGAGAATAAAGCACTTTTCCGTCGAGCTGAATTGAAAACTTTGGTTAATTTGCATGGAAATGAGGTAAGCGGTTAGTATGTATTGTTTGGTAAACGATGTCATCATTTCCGTTCTCTTTTCCATCCTTTCGTAACTAAGGTTCCGAGTCTTTTGGTGTATTCTCCATTTTCTGCAGGCGGGTAAAGGTGGAGAGCTCACACACGACGAGACAACGATAATTGCTGGTGCTCTCGAGCTTCATGAAAAAACAGCTAGTGATGCCATGACCCCTATATCTGACACGTTTGCAATAGATATTAATGCAACACTGAACAGGTAATGCACACTTTGAGATGCTCTGATATGGAAAACATGTTAGATTTCGACTTATCTAGTTGTGTTTACTCTCATTACGACAGGGGTTTGATGAGTGTGATTTTGGAGAAGGGGCATAGCAGAATACCAGTCTACTATGAGCAGCCTTCAAACATAATAGGGCTTATTCTGGTACTTAAACAACTTCTTCCTTTGCAATACAGTGGTTCTTTGCCTTTCTTGACCAATATATATATAGGTTTTCCATCGTTTCTTTTGATGTTATAGGTCAAAAACTTGCTGACTGTCCATCCAGAAGACAACATTCCTGTGAAGAATGTTACTATTCGGAGGATTCCACGGTAATCCTTTCTTCTTCTGAAGTTTAGGTTTGGTGTAGTTTATAAGTGCTCAAGCATTAGCCGTATGTTAGAATCAAGTGCTTACCACTACGCCAAAAGCTATAGCTTGTAGAAAGGTGTCAACTTTATTTCTTTATACCGCCACATTTTCGAGAGGCAGGGTGCTGGACTTGACCCTTCAGGCCTCTGCCCAATAATCCCCTAGCCCACCTGGTGCTGGACTAGGCACCGCCCTCCGCCCAACAATCCCCTAACCACCTGGTGCTGGACTAGGCCCTTCACCGCCCTCCGCCCAACAATCCCCTAGCCACCACCTAGTGCTGGACTAGGCCCTTCACCGCCCTCCGCCCAACAATCCCCTAGCCACCTGGTGCTGGACTAGGCCCTTCACCGCCCTCCGCCCAACAATCCCCTAGCCACCTGGTGCTGGACTAGGCCTTTCACCGCCCAACGCCCAACGCCCAACACCATTCTTGTTTTAGAATTCTCTTAATTTGGAAACTGCCATTCTTGTTTTAGAATTATCTTAATTTGGAAACTGCCAATGTCACTCGGTCCCATTTACATTCGTTCTTTCTGAAGCTGAAAGTGTTGTGATTGATGCCTCTACGATATTCCTTGTAAATGTATGCTCTGTAACTCCTTGCTCCCAGGGTCCCGGAAACTATGCCATTAGACGACATCTTGAACGAGTTTCAGAAGGGTCACAGCCACATGGCTGTGGTCGTACGACAAAGCAACAAGAAGGCAGAACAGACTGCCACCGAAGCCTCTCCCAATGGTTAGCACTTCGTTTGCTCACAATATTTCCCCTCCTCCCGCCAATGGAAACCCCTCTCCCTCTCTCATCTCCCGGTCTCCCTTTTCTTTTTACACTAGACGTGGTACCCGACTTGAAGATAGACATTGATGGCGAAAAGACTTCCTTACATAAGGGCCTTAAGAAGGTACGATCACTGCAGAAGGTGAAAAGCTATCCCAACACCGGAAGCAATTCGTTCAAGGGCTCTAGGAGCAAGAAGTGGAAGGACATGTATGCAGACATTCTGCCAATGGATGGAAACCCATTGCCAAAACTCCCCGAAGAAGAAGAGGTCGTCGGAATAATAACCATGGAAGACGTTATCGAAGAGCTTTTACAGGCAAGCTTTGACTATCTGAAATGTTGTTGGATTCATGACTGAAAGATTATCTGATTCTTGACATGCATTGTGTTTGTGCAGGAAGAGATCTATGATGAGACAGATCATCAGGTGGAAGAATCATGACACGAAGTTATCATCTTATATGAATGCAAGAAATCCCAAGAATATATATATGCAAGAAGAGAAATTTTTGAATCTGTAATATAACTATACATTTCTGTGGTGGGCTGTAATCAGAATCAATTCCCAGAGATGTAAAACACTATATTTTGGATCAGATAATTTGCTGTATTTTAGTTAAACTATATTCATTTTCTCTCGAATTTCTCCTTTTTGTAACTATATATATTAGCATAACCATCATCTTGGATGTGGAAATATATCAATATTTATTTATTTATTTTTATTTATAAAATATGGAGTTATTATGAAATTTAATCTATTGATATATGCCTTTAAAAAGTGCATCCGTTGAATCCCCATATCTCCATACCTCAGTCTAACAGAATAGTGTCTCTACATGTTTGATTAGAGCATTTGAGAGTATGTAAATCACGGTGATTTAATAGCTCAGTAGACATGCCCAAATGTCAATGCACACAAGGAAATATACCTCAGCCCGATAGAATATTGTCCCCCACATGTTGATCTGACCAGAGCATTTGGGAGCATGGTTGCCGTATGCGCTAGTCGGGCGCCTAGGCAGCGCATAGGTAGAATTTAGCCGGCGTTAGGCGGGCAATAGTGGCAAACTTGTAGTTTACAATTTTAATGAAAACGTTTTCAACATTCAATGACATAGCACTCAAAATAAATGAAATAATAATAATTCATAAATCATAATATCAGAACAATATTAAAAAATAAAAATACTCAAATACTTCAATCATTCAAAGAGACGGTTGGACTAAACGACATCAGACGGTCGAAATCGACCAACTAGGCCAATTTTGACCAATTTCGCCACCTAGGTGCCGATCGATTTTTGTGCGCCTAGTAGTGAAAATAGAACGGCCTAGGGCCGGTTAGGCCGATTTTTACAATAGTGTTTGTGAGTATGTAAATTACAGTGACTCAATAATTCAGCAGAATGATCAAATGTCGGTGCGCACAAAGAAACTTACCCTAAATAGTAATTACATTACATATTTTTAAAAAAATGAAAAAAAGAAACAAAAATATAGGAGGTGTTGTTGACTCGCCGTCATCTGTTAAAACCTCAGCCACTAGGGTTTCAGATAGTGGACACCAAAGATCACTCTCTTTTCTCCGTCCAACCTCTGAGCTGAAGGCTGACAACGTTAATCCGTATAGGATCGGTGAAGACTGAAAGTTGTAATCTTTATTCTCTACCCTGTGAGAAATGGCGGCGATTCATCAGATTCTTTCTCCTTCAATCTCTTCTTCAGCCTCTGCCTTCGTAGGCCAGAACAAGCTCAACTTAAGGTAGTCATTTCCATAGCATTTTATTTTTACTATTACAGTTCCATGAATTTCTTGAAACATAAACGTTCATAGTATTAAATTTCATATCTTCAATTCGATTCAGGGTTCAACAAGTATCTGTAGTGCAGAAAGCTAGCCGGGTTGTGAAATGTGTTGCAGCGCCGGAGCAAACTGGTATAAACAGCACACATACAAAAGATGAAATGTGAAGTTATATTGACATAAATATTACTTTTCTTATACACTCTGAACAAGGAGAGAACTAGGAAGAAGGATATATTGTTTCATCTGATAACCAAAACTTGCAATTTGCAAGAGCAGCTGAAGTTTTTATTTTTGTGTGTTGGAATAGAGTTCCTGTGTATGTTTATATGCTTTTGCAATATCGACTTGCACTAATGATGCCCCTCCTACATTGTCTGAAGCTTACAAGACAAATGTGTCTCGCAATGAGAACTTGGCAAAACTTCAAGCTGGTTATCTCTTTCCTGAAGTCTGTATCTTTCCCCCTCCCTTAACTATTTTCTTTTTCATACTTTTTGTTCAGCTACATTATGGTAGAAATTAGAATGTGAATAAAACATAATTGTTGCCACTTTCTCCTCCTTAGATTGCTAGAAGGAGAGCTGCACACATGCTGAAGCACCCTGATGCCAAAATTATAAGCCTTGGAATTGGTGACACTACTGAGCCCATTCCTGAAGTAATAACATCTGCCATGTCAAAGGTAGTGTTCTTAGTCTTGTTTGTGAACCTAATCAAACATATTACTTGGGTTTGCTGGTTTTTTACTTTATTGGGTGTTTTCTTGTGTAATTCACATTCATTGGCCCAGAACAAATTTGCTCTTTATTTGTTGAAAGAAAATCTTGCTTTCAAATTGTCATGTTGCTCCAGTACTTTTTGTTGCAATTCTTCCTCCTTATTACTGATATAAAGTTAGTGATTTCAAAATTTGTATTAGTTGAAAAAAATTCAAAGGTTCAAGAAACTCTTCTTATCTATGGAGTTATAAAGCCTCAGACTTTTGCTATGAAAGGTTAATCATTGAAGTTTTCCTTGGCTTGCAAGTAGAAGGGAAGCCAATTTCCTAATGGAGTTTTCTTTTGCTATACACATTGACAGAGAGCACAAGCATTGTCAACTCTTGAGGGCTACAGTGGTTATGGAGCTGAACAAGGAGAAAAGGTGTGTTTTTACTGTTATTATCTGTTGATCTGTAGTGCTGCTTTGGATATTGTTCTTCCTAAGCTTTTATTTTCCACTATTCTTAAAACAAGTATATATAAATTAGAGCCACATGTCTATTCATTGGTCCTGGAATACTTTTGGTAGTGATAGAAGCTTCAATATACAATATTGTTCTTTAAACATATTGGCTTTAACCCTAGCATAAGTTGACTTAACTAGTTAACTGTCACAATGTCTTAAGTATTCATATATGTATTAAACAGCAAGTGAGAGCTGCAATAGCTTCAACCTTTTACTCAAAGCTTGGGGTAGAGGAGGATGATATTTTTGTGTCAGATGGTGCAAAAAGTGACATATCACGGCTTCAGGTTTTATATTGTTCATGAACTGATGAATCTTCTTGAATATGGAGACTAATGAAATGCTTAATGCTTGTTAACTTTGTTCTTTGCTATTCCATGCAGGTTCTTTTTGGTTCTAATGTGACAATGGCTGTGCAAGATCCATCATACCCGGTAAATTTATTATGTTTTTCCTTTTAGTTAAGCTGTTTTCTGAGTTGCTCAATTTACTTGTGAATTTCCATATTATTGGGAAGGCAGTTGATAGGCTAAGAAGTAACTGTGTTCTTTAGAACTCCACTTGTTTTATTGGGGTTTTAGTTAAGTTGATTCTTTTCCCAGGTCTTGAAAGGGCAGCTCTATAGTTCAGAATTGTCTTATAAATTCTCAACGAGTTCTTTAATCTTTCCTTTTTATTGTAGGCCTATGTGGACTCTAGTGTTATCTTGGGCCAAACTGGGCAGTATCAGAAGGATGTTGAGAAGTATGGGAATATTGTATACATGAAATGTACACCAGAAAATGGGTTCTTTCCTGATCTATCTTCGGTTCCTCGGTCAGATATCATATTTTTCTGTTCACCTAATAACCCAACTGGTTCAACTGCATCAAGGGATCAGCTAACTAAATTGGTACAATTTGCTAAGAGCAATGGGTCGATCATAGTCTATGATTCTGCATATGCAATGTATATATCAGATGACAGTCCAAAATCGATCTTTGAGATCCCTGGAGCCAAAGAGGTAAAGCTAAAGTTTGAAATGGGATTTCCAGTTTGTGTCAGTGTAGTATAGCCCTTTGATATTCTTACACTTCGACTTTTCCTTAAATCCTCTGATCTCCTACTCCTTGTTCAATTTTGGTTGGATCTATTGTGAGGAAAAATCAAATAAAAATTTCATTTCTGTATTCATTCCTAGTTCGCCAGTACATTTTCCTGATTAGTTGGAAAAAACTTGTTTTCCTTTTGTCTTTTCTCTTCAACCCAACCTCTGTATCCTCTCTTAAGAAAAGCCGAACTAAGTTGAATCTTGTACTTGACTTTCAGGTTGCAATTGAGGTTTCCTCATTCTCCAAGTATGCCGGTTTTACTGGTGTTCGTTTAGGTTGGACGGTTGTTCCAAAAACTCTCTTGTTTTCTGATGGATTCCCCGTGGCCAAGGATTTCAATCGCATTGTTTGTACATGCTTCAATGGTGCATCCAATATTGCCCAGTCTGGCGGACTGGCATGCCTTTCACCTGAAGGTTTTGAGGTCAGTTCCACGACTTTGACCAAAACGAAAATCTTCATGGGAGCAAGGGATTAACCTCAATGGCAGAACAATTATATTCAACTGCCCACATTTTCATTTGCATATTGTACATGTATCTAGCTTTCAGCTTGACACATCTAAAATTTTCCCATGTCCAGGCCATGTTGGAGACAGTTAGCTATTACAAAGAAAACACCAGCATCATAACGGAGACGTTCAATTCGTTAGGTTTTAAGGTGTACGGAGGGAAAAACGCCCCATATGTGTGGGTACATTTCCCCGGTCGAAGCTCGTGGGAGGTGTTCAGCGAGATTCTTGAGAAGACACACGTTGTGACCACACCTGGCAGCGGTTTTGGACCTGCCGGAGAAGGTTTTGTTAGAGTTAGCGCCTTTGGACACAGAGAGAATGTGTTGGAAGCCTGCCGGAGATTCAAACAATTGTACAAGTGAAAAGAACTACTGTACACCATTGCCACCCTCAATGTTCTTGCAGATGGAGTTCAAGAACCTCAGTCTTGTTTTGTTTTGTTTTTTTTTCTTATGTAGACATGTAGTTTTGTTTGGTGAATATTTGAACATCATATGATCTTTTTTTATATTTACTAGGTTTTACCAAAGTTTTAAGGTAACCCGACTCTAAATTAGCCAGAATGTAATAAGATATCAAATAATGGAGTGGCATGGTACCCAAAAAGAAACATTTTTACCCTCTCATCTCAAACCATTCCTTTGATCAAACCATTCATTCCCTATCTCCTGGAAATGGAGAATCCACCATTTTTCAACCTCAAAAAAACAGGGGGAAAAAAATCCCAAAGCATCATTTAGCTAGCAGCCAAAAAGGAATGGGGGGTCAGGAGGAGAGAATTTTGAGAGCCACAGAGAATAGCAAAAAGGGATAAATTGTTCAAAAAACCTGTTTCCACAAAAAATTAAAGGAAAAATCACCAATTTTCTGGAATATTTTCAATTTTGTATCACCACCTTATATCATTCCTCATTTTATCTACAAAGCACTCTTTTTTCCACACTTTCATCAACACACAGCCTTACTGGTTGTAGTAACCCAAACTTGTACAGAAAGATGCAGCCTTCAACTGCAGAACGTATTGCAAGACTGTCGGCTCATATCAGTCCTTCAAATCTTCAGGTTTGTACTTCATGCTTTCTTTAGCAGATAGTTCATTCTGTATTGCTTCATATTGCAGCATAATTTTCTGTTAAAAAGACACTAGACAAGCTGTGTGTGTTTAGGAAAACGAAAAGCTCTAGTCTTTATTGGGTAGATGTCAATTATTGAATGATTGATACTCCATGTTTGGTTTCATGGTGTGGATAAAGATGGGGGAGAGTTCCATGTTGGAGAGGGCTAACTGCAGAGCAAAAGGTGGTGCACCCGGGTTCAAAGTTGCGATTCTTGGTGCTGCTGGAGGCATTGGTCAACCACTCGCAATGTTGATGAAGATGAATCCACTGGTGTCGGTTCTTCACCTCTATGATGTCGTCAACAGCCCGGGTGTCACTGCTGATATTAGCCACATGGACACCGGTGCTGTTGTAAGTTTTCATCTTTGCTCTCGACAACATTTTTTTTTTCTCACTCCGAGTGAAACATGTCAAAATCTTGGGGCCGGTTTACTAACAGAAAACTGTTCTCTGTTTTCTGTTTTTTGGTGTTTCTTGATTTCAGGTGCGAGGTTTTCTGGGACAGAAAGAGCTCGAGGCTGCCCTGACAGGGATGGATCTTGTGGTCATTCCTGCTGGTGTGCCGAGGAAGCCAGGAATGACGAGAGATGACCTTTTCAACATCAATGCCGGGATTGTGAGGACGCTGTGCGAAGGAATCGCCAAGTGCTGCCCAAATGCACTCGTCAACTTGATCAGCAATCCTGTCAACTCCACAGTTCCAATTGCAGCAGAAGTTTTCAAGAAAGCGGGCATCTATGATCCTAAGAAGCTTCTTGGAGTCACCATGCTCGACGTTGTGAGAGCCAACACTTTCGTGGTATGTCCCAACACTTCCTCTCACAACTTTACTGCCATTTTACCTCAACTAATGTACACCACAGCTTTACCTGATATGAAACTATGCAGATTGCAGAATCCTTTGACTTGCTTTTCTGTTAAAACATGGAAATTTAGAATTAATGATTCTTCTCGAGTTCTTTACAGGCAGAAGTTTTGGGACTAGATCCTAGGGAGGTTGATGTTCCTGTTGTTGGAGGTCATGCAGGGGTGACGATTTTGCCTCTTCTCTCTCAGGTCTGAAAAACACATGCTTCTAAGCTCTAGCATAGATAACAAATAGCAGTTTTGTGCAGCCTAAAAATAGATACAAACTGTGTAAATGTGTAATCCTCCATAGGTCAAACCGCCATGCTCATTCACCCCCGAGGAAACAGAATTCCTGACAAAGCGCATTCAAGACGGTGGGACAGAAGTAGTTCAGGTAACAACATTAAACAACAGAGAGTAAGAAACCTTAAATTACTAGCTGTTGCTAATGTTTATTGACATGTTTGAACCTGCATCTTTGCAGGCGAAGGCCGGGGCAGGATCTGCAACTTTATCAATGGTGAGATCTTTTTTGCTGAACTTCCCACAGAATCTATAGCCAAACGACACTCAGGTCTCTTCAACATAACGAATGCATGTACAAACATTATTGTGCAGGCATACGCTGCTGTTAAATTTGCAGATTTATGCCTCCGGGGCTTAAGAGGAGATGCTGGTATCGTGGCATGTGCCTACGTAGATTCTAAGGTAGTCCCTCCTTCACTGATGACCTTTGTTAAGAGTTCCACATTGATAAAATAAGAGAGAACATATGGGTTTATAAGGCCATGGGTTAGACTGGCCATGGGTTAGACTAGCTAATTGGTTGGATTTAATCTTTAGTGTGGTTTGGCCCATGTATATTATATCCCAGTTGAGTAACCCTGGCCCAATCTTTGTTTATAACAACTTTCATTTCGTATTGTTCCACGCAAAGCTTTCCTTACAAGGCTGCAATGGCTTTCACAGGTGACAGAACTCCCTTTCTTTGCCTCTAAGGTGAGGCTTGGGCGCGGTGGAGCTGAGGAGGTGTACCAACTTGGACCCCTGAATGAGTATGAAAGGTATGATTCTGGACTGCCCAAATCTGCAAATTCTGCAGAAAATTCGCGAAGATCATCAGTCTTTTGTTTTCTCACGAAAATGGTTTGTAACAGGATTGGATTGGAGAAGGCAAAGCAAGAGTTGGCATCCAGCATTCAGAAGGGGGTTTCTTTCATCAAGAAATAGAAATCTGGGAATATCCCATTGTCATTAAGGTCATGTATTTCTACATAAATGTAACTGATAAGAAGAGCCATGAAAATCTCACTTCTCTAGCATGGAAACCACTCCCCTATACAAAAACTATATGTGCTTTACTGTTCTTGCTTGAGGAAAGTTCACTATGCATTCTCCGTATTCACGAGCAATCAAGAAAGTATTTACAATTGCATTAGCAGTCCGTTTACCAACACCTGCCTTAAACTCGGTATTTTTTTTCAATCACCTTATATGTCACCTAGCAACTGAAACAAGTTGAAAAGGCAGTCTTAACCATTACTAATACCTTTTCTCTATCCCTCTGTTAATTTTTTTGTTTAAGGTTTCAGTTCCTTGTTAGCATCAACAATTCTTAAAAGCACTACTTAATGAATGCTGATAACTAGTTTTCTACTTTTCTTCCAAGTAGTTCCAACCAAGTTAGTTGGACAGTTGGCTTGGTAAGTATAAAAGTTTGAGTCGGTAAGCTAAGCTGATTTAACATCTTGTGACCCTTTGCCGACTAAGGTGGTTGTAGAGTTGCGGTTTATTGACCTTCTTAGCCAGTTAGTTATGAACAACTTAGATTAGTTTATTTTATTGTAATCTTTTACCCTCTAGGGCCACAAAGTGAAGTTTACTCAGTACACCTTCGAATATTAATTGTAAGTTTTTTTGTTACTAATTTAAAAAAAAAAAAAAAAAAGTATTATCACCTTACTAGGAAAATTTTATAGGGTGGATTAAACCAAGAAGGTGTTACTAGAATTGAATCCATAACTTTCAAGTATGAGAATTATAGTTTACCCGCTTGATCACTCTTTGGAAGACATGTTTCATAATTTTTTGTTCCTTGAGAGGGAGGGAACCTTAAGAAGAAGTGTTGAAAATTGTAATTATTTTTTCAATAAAAAACAGTTGAGTTTCACCAAACTGTAACATCATTATCTTTGACAAAAACTTATATGTAATATTTCTTAATTTAGTTCAATGGGAACTAGCTTATGGTATCTTTTGTTTGACTTTTCTGTTTCATTGTTCAGCCTCAAATTATACATCTTAAGATAATTATGGTATTTTGGATGCAACCTTCACTAGGGATTACAATGGGTAGAGAGTATACACTCCGTCCTTGAAACTTCATTTCATTGCTTGTTCCAGTCGGGGAAATTTTTTTCTTTTCCATCTCCGCCTTCAAATCAAATTAGTGCAAATCTCAATACCCAAGAAAACAAAATCTAAATATTAAGTTCTTGATCTTAAAATATATACTTAAATTTTTATTGAATCTTCAATGATAACCGAAATATCAAATACAAAATGCATATAGTCTTTTGTGCAAAACACATCAAATATCCAAACATAATACAAAATCTTCGTTCACTCTAAAAAAAATTATAATCCTTTCAAAAAAATTAATATTATATTTCTTTTTAAAAAAATAATAAAAGTAAACAGGAGATGGGTCGGGGCAGGTGAAGTCATGGAGAAGAGTATCTCTTTCAATTCCCTGTTCTCCAAATTTTGATCCCCGTCGAATAAAAATTGGATGAAATTATCACCTATCATGCACTTGAAACCTATTAATTTGTAAATGACCCTACATCAACAAACTGCAAAATTATATAAGGATCAAATCAAAGAATGAAGATTTCTTCCATCAATATTTATTTACATTAATTAGTGATATGATTAATTGCCACCTAAGTCATTAAACCTAAAGATTCTGATCTGTATGGAAATATATATGATCAAGTAGGGTATGGCAAACAACTCATTTTTATACTACTTGCCTAAAATGAAATAAACTATGATGTAGATGGAATGAACTGTATTGGGAGAGCTGCTCATATGCGATTAAACAATAATTTTATTGAATTTTTTATTCCAAGATTCTCATATTAATTAATTAGTAGATGCATGTTAATTAATACTAGTAATTACGAGAAGAATTGGAATAATGATGAGCCTACAATGTAAATATGTAATAGAATCAGTAGTACTAACCAAAAAAAAAAAAAAGATTATGTTCCAATTCTCCTTATAGCTCATTTTGGTAGAACTTATTTTAGAGCCTCTATAGTTACTTTTAAATTACAAATAACAAGCTATAAATTTTATTTAGTAAAACATTGAAGCTTACAATATATTTTGTAGTTTATTTTGAAACGCTACCCAAGTAAATTTTACAAACAAGAACCAAACACTTCAAGAGAAGCAATTGCTAATTTTATTGGTTCTTTGTAGATATGACGGCTAAAGTAAGCATTGCATAATTTTTGTTATACAATTTGCATGATTCGCCAACAAATACTCTGATCCCATCTAATCAAATATATTTTATAAAGCACCACTAGTTATATTTATAAATGCATATTAACAAATTAATAATTAAGAAATAATAACTGATTTATTAATAGCATAATATAGTTGCCTAGCATGACCGCCTACCATTGATGCACTAATTTTTCAATTTCAATAAAATAATTAGCCGTATTATTATTATAATTGTTATTTTATTTGGAAGCTTCATTGGTGAGTTGAGCAAATTCATTACTCCATAATAGAGAATGTCATGCTCTCATCATCATAGCATAGCATAGTTTTTTTTTTTTTTTGTTTTTTTTTTTTTTGTTTTTTTTTTTCTTTCTTTTAAGAGACAACTTAGTCGAGTTGACCAGGTTTGATCGTTTTGACTTAGTAACCATAAGGTTCCAACAAATTTCACATACTTCTTGTGGGAGATGCTTATTGACATTCTCAGTTTGAGTTTGTCAACGTATATGGACAACTTATGTTGGTCCTTGCCGGCTAAGCTCACAAGATGAGCTACCTTCGAGTAGCGGCTACAAAATTATTTTATATATGATTGCAAGTAGTATAATAACTTAGTGAATCGGCATTGGTGCAACTACGGGCTTACCCATATAGTTTGATAACTTAGTGAATTGACATTGAATTGGTTCCTTTTGTTTGTTTGTACCAAGTATAATCTTACACATTATATCGGTCTATACCATGTATTGTAGCGACATAGGTTGATAGTACATGATCCAACCCTAATAGAGTGTATAATTGTACAAAGTATAATAAGATACTGATGTTGAACAACACCGTAGAAATTGCTTCAATAACATTCTTTGAACTTCTTTTAATGAGAAATTTTGGATTCCATTCACGGTTAATTAAGTTGTTTGGATAGCATTATTTTTGTTATTATTAATGTAATTGGTTTTATGTATAATTGCATTTGAATTCATAGTAAAGAAATGTGATAAATATATAAAAACCAAATGTTGGGTATGAAAGTGAAGAAATTTCTAAATATTGGGGCATTACGAGTTTACGACGTCACAACCAAACAATATTGCAATTATAATATTACATAGACAAAGAAAAGAGGACCCCTCAAATGGTCCTCTAAAACACACTATTTGACACTGGTACAACACCATATTTGCCAATTCAGCCCCCAAAAAAAACCTAAAATCCCTTTTTTGACCACAAGGTTTGGTTTGATATCCTCAAACCTCCCCCCAAAAAAATGTAGAGGAAAAACTAAAAAGCCCACAAAAGCCATGAAGTCATCTCTTTACAACAGGAGGGTAGGGTAACATGGTCCATGAATAAACCATGAAAAAAATTTGACGAAAAAACCCTCCTACAAAATGAACCTCACAGCAAACAAGCTTCATATATGGGCAGATGGTTCCAAATAAAAGGGTGCTTGGCAAACAGGCCTTAATATTAAACCTCGTATGATCCGAAAGTATGCATGCATGCATGCCCGAGTTTAGGCAAGATTCCTAGACTCGTTTATTGTCGATATTTTTAAGGTTTCTGGCAATTCAAACTGACTGAATCTTGAGAGCTGACCGTAAGTTCATCACAATATCCTTCACTGTCATTGGGAATTTCTCATCCATCTGAAAATTAAGAAAAGATTAGAGAGAAAATAATTGATTTTTAGTTGCAGGGTAAAACTAGCGGCCGGGATGAATTAAATACCAGAATTTTTTATTTTTTATTTACCTGAGCTATTATGGTAATATCAAGAGCAGAATTGCCAAAAGACATGGCAGTGCTATTGGTGACAGAGAGATGGAGATTCTCCAGTTCAGCTACTGTTTTATCAACAACCCCTTTGCTCTTTTCACAGTGGACTCTAACCAGAACATCTTTATCGGAGATTCTTACTTCGATCTCCGGGAGCGGCTCATCGACCCCGGACAGATTTTCATCCGAGGAAGAATTCTCAGCATCTGCTAAAACCTCATATTTCTTGACAAAAACTACTGACTGATGAGCAGACTTCTTCCTTGTCTGCTCTTCCAGCATCTTCACTCTCTCTTGCAGCTGTTTCAAGTGCTTTATAGCATCCCCAAGAACCGAAGCCTTGTCCATCTGCAAAATTGTACACCATATGGTTAACACAAATTAAAGTAAACTTTTCTTGATTTTGAGAATATTAAGATTAGACTGTCCTATTGACTTTCTTGATTTGAGTCAATCAACTGTAGCAACAAAAAGATTAGATTATATGGCCCTGTTTGGTAAAAAATTGGCCTATAGGCTAATTTTGGCTTATTTGACCACTATTAATTATTTGATTTAGTTAAAATATCAATATAAATGTTTGGTTAATTAGCTTTTTGCAACTCCAAAAGGCTAAAATTCAAAAAGCTACTCCAAGCAACTTTTTCAATTAGCTTTTTGAGAAAAGAAATTATATCAAACAGCTATCAGCTAACAGCTAATTTACCAAACACTATACTACAATCAACCAATGTTATCAAATATTTATACCCTCTAATCAACACAATCAGCTAGCGGCTATCAGCTAACAGCCATTTTACCAAACAAGACCATTACCTTTTTGAGTCCTGGGACTAGAGCAGACAGAGCAATGAATCTCTGGCTGAGCTTTTCGCGTCGTTTTCGTTCTGCAATTATATGATCCTGAGCAGTATTACTGATCTTCTTGGCTTCCTGGCCGGCCTTGAACACGAAATTTTGGTTCACAAAGGGATCTTGGGAAAGAATGTGATGATGATCAGCATGGAAAGTTATGGCACTGGGATGAGAAATTGTTTCTTCTTTAGGCCTTCTGGTTCTGATTTGGTTGCTGTAATCTGAGTTCACAACGTGAAAGCTCTGATGAACAGATTGT